GCTAGGCGTTGTAACATGAGATGCCTGTTTCATGTGCTGGTGTCTGTCTGAACCTCTGGAATAATACTCAGAAAGCCAAAATCACAGTTACTTATTTCTGGGGAAGGAAACTAGACTTCTGAGATTAAGTGGTAAAGAAAAGGAGCCTGTAGCATGATTGATAAAAACCCAGAGACGGAAACTGGGTTTCAACCTGAAGGTTAGAAAAGCAAACAGCCACTGGTCTTACCTCTCTATCTAAGTCTGAAATGGCGATTCTGCCTCCAGGAATCTCAGAATGAGACTGTATCTGAGAGCTATCTCCTCCCATTTTATATTCCTCTCTAGTGTTGGGATTAAAGGCTTGCACCACTACTGCCCGATTTCTATGGCAAACTAGCGTGGCTACTGGGATTAAAGGTGTGTGTCACCACTGACTGGTCTTTAAGGCTGATCAGTGTGGTTGTTTTACTCTCTGACCTTCAGACAAGCTTTATCTATTAAAAATAAAAATGAAATATCACTACAGGAGCCCAAAGGATCAAGAATATATATATATATATATATATATTAACTCTCAAGGAAAAGCAGAGAGGTCCCTGGAGGTTCCAAGATCCCAGTCAAACAGTCTGGTTGAGGGACTTTCTTGACTCCCATTTGAGCAAAGACCTCTCGAAGAAGATGACCAGCCTTGCGACCCCTGTGACCAGCTCACCACCCAGTTTCCACTAGGGAGGTTCCTTGACTCTTGGGGCCCACTTCTACAGCTGCAAGAGGGGGTGCAAGTGATACCCCTCTGCAGAGCTGTCAACAGAGCTCTTAGGACTGCTCCTGGCAAGTGGGGTACACCTAGCAAGCACAGCTATTCTTGTCTCTGTCCCTTGTGAAGGTGACACCGTTCTTAGGCACTGGGAACTCTGCACTCCAGTGCCATCTGGTGTCTTGTAGCTCAGTCTGGCTCTGCCAGAGCAGGTGCTAGAGAAGCACCGAGAAGCAAGGCTGTGTGCTTCCGTCACGCGTGTGCTGCTGTCGCGTGTCACTCAGGCAGGTGCTCAGCAGCTGCTTGTGCATTCAGAAAACATCTTCTGTGCTGCAAAATACCTCGTTCCCTTGACAGGAAGTGACTTAGACGCTGTGCGAAAGAAACAGCAGGAAGCCAGTGCTACATCACACTGGGCTCCAGGAAGGGAATGGGCTTCTCTCCAGAGCAGAAAATCCCTGCCCGCCTCTCCTCTTGTAGTCTCATCCCAATGTTTGGAAGGGACGTGGAGCATCCTGTCTCAACTGACCTACGCTGACACTTGCTGAAAGTACATACTGTCATCCCGTGAAGCCTGACAAGAGCCTCCTTTAAAATCAAGTAACGTCAGGAGATCTCTCCCGAAGCCTCCTGATGTAGTCCACTTCCAGATTAGCTTTGGGTATCTCCAGCAGCAAATGCTCCCCCATTTAAGCTATGGACTAGGAGCAAGGGTGTGGGAGAACATTCACACAGGGCAGTCACCCCTCCAAGGGCGAGCTTTAGTGTTAGGTGATTTTTATGGATCCTCAAACCTCAATTTGTAGCTATCAGTCTCTTTCAAAATCATCTAGGGCTAAGGGTGGGGGTGGGATCCAGAAGAACAAGATTGGTCTCCTGTTGATCGTGTTTTAAACTGGCAATGGCTATAGCAGGGGCTGGCTGCACTGCCCATTTCTACTTTTGTTTATCTTATAATATATAAAAAGAGCAATGATAGCTGTGGTCCTAATAAAAGAAACAGTTGTTTATAACCAAAATGATTGCATGTACCTGAACCCTGCCCTGTCCTTTGAGATGTCCCTCAAGCTATTAGACCAGACCCACTAGTCAGTTTGGGACTGGGCTGTCTCCCCTGGAATAGCTGCTTTTGTTTAAGAATTTTGCCCTGTACGGTGATGGGGCTTGACATATCACAGCATTCTCACTATAGATTCAGGGAATGACAAAATTCCTAACAAAGTCCCATGCTTAGGTCTCAAAGACAGGTGAAACCCTCACAGTGGACATCAGGAAACACCGGTGATGGCCACACAACCATCATGAGGGAGTATATATAATCCCTCAGCCCATTTCTGGAGCCTTCTGGAGAGGGGTGTCTAAAGAGTCATTTCTGGAGCCTTCTGGAGAGGGAGGGGTGTTTAAAGAGTCATTTCTCAGAATCAAGTGACTGTTCTCCTTTTCTCTAATCTCTGCTTTCCTATTAAACCCAGTACAGACCCCTGTTTCTTAATTTAAAAAAAAAAAGGTGCTTTGGTTCCTGTAGAACTCACTTGGAGGGCAAACAACCTGCACAGATGCGAGCCTATTTATAGTCCTTATTGATTCACTTGGTGTGAAAATTCCTATTGTGCTGCTGACATCCCGAAGTGTTTGATTACAGGGTCCCGCCCCAAATCTTGCTGGGGAATGTTCATGTGGCTGTGTCTCACGGCACCATATTACTGTCCTAAATTAAAATCAGAAGCAAAGCCTCACTCAAGTCCCAAGGTTTTACATAGGAGCCCTGGACCTGGGTACTTCAGCAAAAACACAAAACAAAAAAATCAAAACAAAGCAAAAGTCAAAACATTCATCCTGTATCAAAAGCCAGACTTCTGTATTAGAGGTGGAGCTGAGAAGCAGAACAGGATCCTGGCATGCAGGAGGCCCAGAGTTCCACCCCTTATAGTATACATTAACACACACACATGCACACACTCACGCACACACGCATGCACTCGTGTACACAAGCACTCACATGCAGTGAAAATGTGTTGGACATAGTGGTGTACACAGGAAAAGCATGGGTTCCCGGCAAGTCTGAAGTACACAGTGAGGCCCTTTCTCATAAGACAAACATCTGTTCAGAGCAGACCTTTGTCTATGCACACGCAGTGGCCCACAGGCGATCCCTTCCCTATTTCCAGGACCATTTGTCTTTCAGGCTCCTCCATGACCACTGATACAGCATCTGCCCTTCCGCACCTTCCCCTCTTGCTTTTCAGGGAAGGCAGGGCTGTCAAATTAAAAACACCTCGAACGGCAGGCAGAAACTGGAGGTGCCGACCTGCTTGCAGCCTGTCCTGTCCTTCTCCCTCTTTCATTTCTAGTGAGGACTTCAAAGGGCTCTTGTGGAAGACAGCTCCACTCTCCATTCCTACGTCCCTGCCCCCACCAAGTTTTCATCCAATCATCAAGTCATAGCACCTGAAACAAAAAACGACAATATAGAAAAACAGCAACACTGATTTCACAGATGTTTCCTGATAATACCCGCTCTGCTGCCCAAGGCTGGCCCTTCCAAGAACTAGCTTATATGCCTGGACTCTACTCTTTCCCTAGGCTTCTTGCCTTCCCTCCCTCCACCTGGCTCCAGGACCTCTGGATCCCTGAGCAGCTAATTCTACCTGTGACCTCCTGCCGCTGGCACCCTCCCGGAGGATCTGTCACTGGGAATGTGAACTTTCCCTGTATGATGTACCACATCCAGGTCCTCCTACCCCCCCCCCCCCCACCATGGATCTACTGCTCCCTTGGAGGTGACTTTCTCTTTCCTGCATGAAACTCTAGAGATGGGTTTGGCCCCAGGACCTGTCCTCTTCTCGCTGTCTGTCTACAGGACAACCTCGGTCTCCAGCTGTGCTCCCTGCAGTAAACTGCACTATCTACCTGTTCAACAGTCCCCAGACCATTAAACTTAACCTCTCTAAACTGCCTTCTAGACCTGCTCTGCCCAGTGCCTTGGACCTCTCTTCCCTCAGCCCCCTCTCCAGGGAGACCACAAACATGGCCGGCCAGTCTAGCAAACCCAACTCCAGTTCATCTTTCAGGTCTTCATTCTCCCTTTTAAATCTCTCCCTCAGCACCATCTGGCCGCAGGAAAGCCACTATCCCAGGCCACTTGGAGCTCCAGAAGGTGCTTCCTTGCGGCTTCCTGGCTCCATACACCGATGACTATTGTGTATGCACATCTAATAGCGGCCTTTTTTCTTCAGCTCCTTAGTGTATCCTGGATCAAGTGTTTTCCTAGAATGAATACCAAGATCTCTACAGGCCTTTGCCTCTTTGGGTTTCCTCAGCACCACCGAACTATCCCCCCTGCACTGCCCCTCCCCTGCAGCACTGTTGTATGGCGTCTTCTGCTTACATCACCCCAGCTGTACCCCGTGCTCCATCCTACCCGTATCACCTCTCCTGCCCACATCACCCCAGCTGTACCCACTGCTCCATCACACCTAGATCACCTCCCCCTCCCACATATCCCAGCTGTACGCACGGCTCCATCCCACCTGTATCACCTCCTGTATGTATCATCCCACCTGTACTACCCCACTTGCTCGCCTCCCCTGCACCCCTACCTGTGCCAGACCATTTATACCACGTCACCAGTCCAGTCATAACCCCTCAGGCACTTCCATGTCCTTTATAAGCCACCCTATGCCCACACTGATTTCTCTTCCTCAATATTCTTATCTCTGCTGTCCCGGGTCAGATGGCCAGCTTGAGGATTCTCTCCCTGGGCAGCATCCTGACCCTCTTGTCACAACTGTTCTGAACACCGAGTGCCGACTGTCCCAGCCATGTTTGCAATTTAGCATCTGTTGGTGGGATCAGTTTACCAATGTCCATCTCTCCAGTTAGACCATAAACTCCAAGGATGCTGGAACCCTGCCTCGTTCATTCTCCTTAGCTCCTACCTTGAGGAATGAAGAGGGAAAGAAAATTTGAATTGAAAAAGACTTTGGGAATAGCTCCACGCCACCCAAATTCTCTTATAGTTCAGCCTCCTGTGTAAGCAAGCACTCAGCATTTTTAATTTTTGAGGTTGTCCTTTGCACCAGAGGAAGCTGAGGCGTGGAAGAGTTAGGGGAATTGCCTGGAATCTCCCGGCCACAACTGCTTAATACCAGGCCATGTTGCATCAGCTCTGGAGGCTGCGGAAAGGGTGGGGGATGGTGGGCACATGGGTAAAACCATCATCTCTTTGTTTCTGTCTTTGTCCCCATGGTCATCCCCATAGCTGGACAAGATGCTGGACCCCCAGGTGTGGCGGGAGGCAGCCACCCAGGTCTTCTTCGCCCTGGGGCTGGGCTTCGGAGGTGTCATCGCCTTTTCCAGCTACAACAAACAGGACAATAACTGCCACTTCGATGCTGCCTTGGTGTCCTTCATCAACTTCTTCACCTCGGTGTTGGCCACCCTCGTGGTGTTTGCTGTGCTGGGCTTCAAAGCCAACATCATGAATGAGAAGTGTGTGGTCGAGTAGGTGGCCTGACCCCTCCAGTCCCTTCTTTCTCTGCCTGCCTCACCCAAAGGTAGCAGGTGGGCTGGGCAGGATGAGAGGCCCCCTTCATCCCATAAGGGATGAGGTCATCATCTTCCTCAGCCCTGGCCCACAAGAATAGGCTCCTGGATGTCTCTGTCAGTGGCCTATGGGTGCCCTGCCTGGGTTTCTGGGAGGGGTCTCTCAGGTCCCACACTTCCCTTCTTACCAGGTCCTGCCCTCTTTGCAATGCAGGAATGCTGAGAAGATTCTAGGGTACCTCAACTCCAACATCTTGAGCCGTGACCTCATTCCACCCCACGTCAACTTCTCACACCTGACCACCAAGGACTACTCCGAGATGTACAACGTCATCATGACTGTTAAGGAAAAACAGTTCTCAGCCCTGGGCCTGGATCCCTGCCTCCTGGAGGATGAACTTGACAAGGTACTGGAACAAACTGCCCTTCCTAGGACAAGCAGGAATCCGAAGATAAGCTCAGTGGCTGGAGCTTGGGCCTTGAAAGCCCATAGAGCAATGGTTCTCAACCTTTCTAATGCTGTGACCTTTTAATACAGTTCCTGATGTTGTGGTGACCCCCCAAACATAAAATTATTTCGTTGCTACACCATAACTGTAGTTTTGTTACATTTGTGAATTGCAATGTAAATATCTGATATGCAGGGTATCTTATATGTGACCCCTGTGAAAAGGTTGTTTAACCTCCAAAGGAGTCACGCCCCACGGGTTGAGAACCATGGCCGCAGAGTCATGCACTTACTAACACGTGAAGACTCACTATGAGCACAGATGGAGAAAGGCTGGAAGCGTCAGGATGCCCAGAGGGAAGCTTATGATTAGATGGAGGGTCAAAGGGAACGCTGAAATCGCAGGAGCCCTTGTCAGTTTGAGTCGGGATCCCCCTTTGTTGAGCAGGCTTCTTCTACACAGGACCCCGTGTAAACAATCCACTTAGAACAACAGCTGTGGACCAGGTAATTGCTAATTCCCTCCAGTTCCCATTTCCTTTGACCCCTACGGCAGCTCTATGAGTTAAGTATGAATATTGTTCCCAGTTTTATCAATAAGGAGTCTGTAGGTTGTGGGAGAGATCAGGGTCTCACAGCTAGTAAGCAAGAAAACAAATTAGTGCTCTAGTTCCAGAGTCCTTGTTCGCCTCATCCCTTGAGACGCCTGCTCTCGTCAGTGCTCCCACTTCCACCGTCACAGTGAGACTTAGCTCCTGGGCTAAGCAGAGGTACTCCTCCCCATTAGTGCTCAGGCTGAGGTGGGGATAACTTTCTCGCGTTTGCATTTGCACCTCTGGGCACTTTCAAAATGACCGTTCTGCTACAGTGGTACCAGCAAACCAACCAGACAGATCCACAGATCCCAGGCCTCTGGCTAGAGCCAAGGCGCATGTTGGGGATAGCAAGCCCCATTAGCCCCTGAGTTTCTTCACAAGACCAGAAGCTTTCCATAGAGGTGTCTGAGATCCATGCCAAAGGCTGCTCCATGGCTTGGAGCTGTAGTTTTGTTGGTAGAGTGCCTGTCTAGCATCCTGGGTTTGATTCTGTGCCCTTAAATAAAAAGGATTAACAGAAGAAAAGCAAAAAGACAGCTTCACTAGTCCGGGGGCGCTGCATCCCACTATCTCTGGCTTCTCTCCCGTACTCAAGAGCAAAGGAGCCCAACTGGCAGCATCCTCTCTTTCCACCCCTTCTCACAGCCGTGACCTGATCTTCTGATAACGCTAGGAATACAGCAGGTTTTTTCAAGAGTAGCTAAATGACAACTGAGAACTCCTAAGTTCCCTCCAGGTAACAGGACACTTGTGAGTGACGTGAGCAGGCAGTGTGGCCCTTGTATTAAAGCAGTGGCTCCATACTTGGGCTGTCCACGAGACCCCTGATAGCTTTAGAAAACGTCACACCACCTTAACCTTTGCCCAGTGAAATCGTGGTCTCTGCAGGAGAACCTGACAAGGGTGGGTATTTAAAGACTCTAGTTGCTCCCATTGGACAGCTGAGCCTGAGTGTCTATAATTCAGCAGTTCAGAACTGGGAGTGGTCACTGTGGCTGCAGCAAAGAGGAGTCTTAGGAGCAGGGTCCTACATTGTGTGTGTTTCTAGATGGGAGCATCTTCACCTGGACCACTGGGGTCCCGAAACAACCTGTAGAATTAGGTCCCCTAGGGAAACTCTCAGGGACTTTTTTTTTTTTTTTAACATTTTAGTTTAGTGTGGTTGCTTTGAGACAATCTTAATCTGTAGTCCAGGTAAGCCTGAACCTCAATGTGAAGTTCAGCTGGCCTTGAACTCTTGGCAGTCCTCCTGCTTTAGCCCTCTGAGTGCTGGAATTATAGGTGTGAGTCACTACAGCTAACTCTCTCCAGAGACTCTGATGTTCACTATGGTTTGAGATCCTCTCTTTCAAGCTGAAAAGAGTTCAAGTAGCAATGGGGAGCCCTGTGAAAGAGGGAACGGTGATTCCTGTTCCTCCAGAGGGAAGGAGGCAGAGGACCTCTGGAGTAAGAGTAGCCCCCACTCTCTGCCCCACCCTTAGTCTGTGCAGGGCACAGGCCTGGCCTTCATCGCCTTCACTGAGGCCATGACACATTTCCCGGCCTCCCCCTTCTGGTCTGTCATGTTCTTCCTGATGCTCATCAACCTCGGCCTGGGCAGCATGATCGGGACGATGGCGGGAATCACCACACCTATCATCGACACCTTCAAGGTGCCCAAGGAGATCTTCACAGGTAAGTAACTCCCTGTCACCCTGCCAGACACCAGCCCGGCACGCATGTGACAATCAGGTTCTGAATTGATTGGGCGGTTTGTCACCCCATCTGCAGAAGGCTCTTCTCCCTGATGATAGACAGTTGGACCTGGATGTGCCATTCAGGATCCCCGTCTACCTCTTCCCTGCATCCCTGGGGAGGAGGAGTGGCGTAGTGGCTTCCTCCTTTCAAATGGGAAAACTAAGGTTTCCCGGGAAAGGATCGTAGGACTAATCAGTTGAATCATCTCAATTCAGTTCAGTATTTAAGTGAAGCAGCTGCCTTGGGCTTGGTGCTGTGCCCAGAGCAGGGAGCATGAGTTGGGAGGGGGGGGGGGGCGGAGAAAGCAGAGTTGATGCCTTCCTCAAGAGTCCCCTGCCTGATGTAGGGGGAGCTCAGAACCTCAGCTTCCAGCGCTCTCCTGCAGGGCAGGGCCGTGCCTGTGAATCATAGAGGGGGCAGGCTGCAGGCCTGCTTGGGAGCAGCATGCTGGGGGGGTAGCCGGGTCCCCCCCACCCTGCACCTTTGCCCCCACACCGGCCTCTCGGCTCTCTGTAGTGGGCTGCTGTGTCTTTGCATTCTTCGTGGGGCTGTTGTTCGTCCAGCGCTCCGGAAATTATTTCGTCACCATGTTCGATGACTACTCGGCCACCCTGCCACTCACCGTCATCGTCATCCTTGAGAACATCGCTGTGGCCTGGATTTATGGGACCAAGAAGTAAGGAGGTCATAGAGAGTGATGGGGACAGGTGGAGGAGGGGGGTTCTTTCCCATGAGGACTTTTCGGGGGGAAACCTGCATTCTCGAGGCTGCTTCTGAAAGGGGCAAGAGATTACAGACTATGGGAGCTAAAGGGCCCCCTGGCACCAGGAAACTGAGGCCTCTAAAGAGGCCAAGAATATTGGAAGAGACAGAGCCATGCTAAGGACCTTGGGATCCTAGGTTCCGATCCTGACGTCAGCCTAAACAATTAACTATCACAGCCCCTTTGCAGAAGACCAGTCCAGAGATGGCTGCTTAGCTTGTGTAGCACTTGGCTGGGATTCCAAGCCCCCCCTCCCTCGCCCTCCAAGTAGACTCCAGCAGCCTGATTTATAATTTTAAGGAATGGGTTTTGGCCTCAAGTTTTGGTTTTGCAGAGAAAGGGGGTTTAGCAGTAAGGTCAGATCTGGTTTCATGGCCTGACCCAAGGCAGATCTCCACTTACAGCCAGTACTTATTTACGGTCAAATCTTCATTCCCGGGGACTCCCAGGACTACCACCTTCCTACCCTCTTGGTGTTGACTGTGTTCACTGTCCTTGTCCTCAGAGAGGCCCAGGCCTTCCACTGCGAAGCTCAGCCTGACCCTCCTTGATGTCCAGATGGGTTTGGAATCCAGTGTGTCTCACAGGGGACATCTGCTTCCTGGGAGGGCACAGGAGGAGGAGGGGCAGAAAGCATAAGAGAAGGAGCGCCCAGGACAGGGGTGAAGACGAATGCCTATTATTCTGTCACCTGTGAGACCGAGGCAGGATTGCCATGAGTCTGAGGCCAGCCTGGGCTCACAGAAAACCCCTGTCTCAAAAGACAACAGAAGGGAAGGAAGGAGGAGCGAATTGACGGCGGGATGAGAAAAGGAAGGGACAGAGGACTCCCCCGTGTTCCCCCCACGCGCTGGGGCTGGAAGGCTCTGCCAGAAGGGCTTGGACTGTGGTGCCGTGGACTCCTGTGCAGCTTGTGGAAGCCCCTGTGCCTGTTCTCACAGTGTCCCTTTCAAATGCATGCAATTAGCTATCCATAATTATATAGAAAACCAATGGTACTGAGAACGGATTAAGCATTGTTTAGTGTGGTTTAGTGTGTACTCTCTTTGTACCACAACAAGTCTGGAGATCTGGTTGTGGGTCTAGTAACAGCTGTCACTTAAAAACAGTGGTGGACATATGTGTTTCTGGTATCTTCCATAGCAGGCGGTGATAAGAGAATGTCTGATTCAGTCACAAGTAGCGCTAACACTCTTGAGGTTGCTTGCACTTACAACAGAAGGAGTGGCCAGGTTCGGTTAGCGTGATTGAGGTAAAGATGCATTTTGTATACCACCCAAAACTGTAGCCTGCCTGCCTCCTTAATTTAGAGACCTTAGGATTTTTAGAAGCTTCTTCCTTCCCATGCTAGGTGCATTACTGCCTCTTCTCCAGCAGGGGGAAGCGTGAGCACGGCAGGTGGGAGGCAGCAGCACCCTGAGAACTCAGCTTTCTATCCCCATCCACTGGTCCCCAGCCTGCCTAGTGAATCAAATCTCCGGTGTGAAGTAGGCAAAGCAGAGCCTCCTGGAGACCACTGGGGCTTCACACTGTGAATCCCGAAGACAAAGGCTAGCAGAACCCAGAAGGGATTGGTCAGAAACAAGTGACCATAAGGGAAAGGGAAGGCACGGTGGCAAAGGTGCCTACTGCTCTTGTCTTCTGCTCTGTCTGGCAGGTTTATGCAGGAGCTAACAGAGATGCTGGGCTTCCGACCCTATCGCTTCTATTTCTACATGTGGAAGTTCGTGTCCCCATTGTTCATGGCTGTTCTCACCACAGCCAGCATCATTCAGCTGGGGGTGTCGCCCCCAGGCTACAGTGCCTGGATCAAAGAAGAGGTGAGTGGTGGCCCCGCAAACCCCAGAACCACTTGCATCTTCTCAGGCCTTTACAGATAATCGGAACAAACCTGTCTAGGACAGCAGCTCCGTGACAGGTCTTGCCAGGTGCCCTGTCTTCCTAACGTACAGTCTGTAGGACAGCCCTAAGGAGTGGCGTTATTCCTCTAGCATAAACGGAGAAACTGGAGTTGGGCAAAATCAGCATACTCCTCGGGTGTTCTAAGGCAGTGTCTTTTCGTGTCTATGGTGTGGAATTGCCTGCCCTTTCTACAGATGTAGACACTGAGCCCCCCTTTAGCCAAGGTGATCTACTGGGGACGCCAACTCTACTGCTACTTGGCCAGGGTGGAGGGAGGGGAGGAGGGGAGGAGGGGAGGCCATAGGCAAGGGTGGGAAAAAATCAGCCTGTAGGCTTGGGAGGGGCATTGCCTGGCGCCCTGCAGCACCCCTCCTGCTCTCAACCCTTAGGCTGCAGAGCGCTACCTGTACTTCCCCAACTGGGCCATGGCACTGCTGATCACCCTCATCGCTGTGGCAACCCTGCCCATCCCCGTGGTGTTCATCTTGCGGCACTTCCACCTGCTCTCTGACGGCTCCAACACCCTCTCTGTGTCCTACAAGAAGGGCCGCATGATGAAGGACATTTCCAATCTGGAGGAGAACGATGAGACCCGCTTCATCCTCAGCAAGGTGCCCAGCGAGGCTCCCTCCCCCATGCCCACCCACCGCTCCTATCTGGGGCCCGGCAGCACATCGCCCCTGGAGAGCAGCGGCAATCCCAATGGACGTTATGGAAGTGGCTACCTCCTGGCCAGCACCCCTGAATCAGAGCTGTGACCACTGTGCCATTCTGCCCACCTCCCCTCAATACCCAACCTGCCCACTTGGCTGGGCCTAGTCTCTTCCTCCGTGGTAGCTGCCAGACCCAGGCTAGTCCACGGAGAGGGGATCTGCCCGGCCTTGTTCCCCACCCAAGTCCCAGCAGACTCCCTCTACCTATGAGCAGGGGACTGGGGACAATTTCATCCCCTCGTCCAGGCCTCCACCCCATGTAACTTTTTGAGAACTCTTGCCAAGTTGCAGCCATGTGACCACAACAACCCCAGTATGGGGGAACTTCAAGTGGGCACTTTAGGACTCGACACCCCCTCTCCCTGTGAAACCTACCACTTGCAGTTCTCAGGTCTTGGGGAGGCTCGCTTTGCGCTGTTGGTATTGGTGGTAGTGGGCAGAGGCTTCAGGGCCGAGGGCACAGGTGGTAGACTTTAGCCCAGTCTGCCGTAAGAACAGAACACATCATCCTGTCAGCCCAGCATGGCTGCTCCTGAGCTAAGATGGGGATAGGGACACGTGTGTCAGGAAACTCCTCAGTTCTGTCTTACGAGATAGGCGGTACCCTCTGGCTTGAGCGAGAACCTGAGCATTGAAAGGAATGCTCCACAGCCAGCTCATGGAATCTTTGAAATGACTCTGTTTCTCCTGCCAGGGGCAGACCGGGTATGTTCCTGATTCTGCCTGGAAGCATGGTGAAGGGAGGGGTCACCTTAACTAGGGTTTAGCCATTTTTTTGGATCTCCACTATCCAGCCTGGCGCCAGGGGTGGTGGTCTTGGCCTCTGTCCCAGGGAGAAAAGGGGCAGCGCCAGGCAGGCGAGGTTTGCAGAGCACAACCTAAGGGTTCCAGCACAGCCTAGGTCTGGAGCACAAGTGAAACACTCTCTTCCGCTCTCACCCGGAGCTCGCCATCCTCTTTCGTGGCAGCTTCTCTCCTGGAATGGGGGTTCCTGGAGTTCAGGGCCGTGTCACCAGGAGCCCTCGTTTCTAGGGAAAGACAGGTCATTTCACTGCCCCTTCGGGCTGCCTCTCGCTCTCCCTGCTGCACAAGCACAGCCTCCGGTGTGCACCTCGTGTGAAGACACCTTGGAAACTTTCCCAAACTCCCCCAGTCTGTTCAGAGATATGGCACAGGTGATTCTGGGCAGGATGGAGGCTGCCGGGGGTGGAGGGCAGTGGCAAAGCAAAGAGCCTCTGGTTTTAGGCCCTGAGAAGGTACAGCCTCTGGCAGTGTCCCTGTCCTTCTATCAAAGCTCCCCTGGGGAGAGGGACTGTTTCAGAGCAGCCTGTAAGGACTCAGAAACTGACCTGAGAATCAGGGTATCTCTCTGCAGTATGACCTCAGAGAGATGGTGTATGGATATATATATCCATATATATGTGTGTGTGAATGTGTATATATTTATGTATGACTGGCAGACTAGGATGGATGGATGGATGGGTGGATATATATGTATATACACACATACATAAATGTATATATATGTGTGTATGTGTGTGTATATATGTGTATATGTATATATATACATTTCAAAGTTTTGGTGGACAGGAACTGACCCGGGTAACTTCCAGAGGTTCCTGGGGTCATTTTCTTGGCCCTGACTTCCCTCAGTACTGAGAGGGGCAGACTAGGCCCAGGTGCCCACCTTCTATTCCTATGCCTACTGGTTACCTCCCTTCCTAGCCTGAGAGGTCCATCCCCTCCTCCTGCCATCTCTCTCTTTCCTCAGTTCCTCACCGCCTTCTCTCCCTTGTAACCTTCTCAGTTCCACCTGTCCTAGTATTTGAGGTGAGAGGGAGTCCGAATCTCCCTGAAGAGATGCGCTTTGGGGGTGCGGCATCCCGTCATCGGCCCCCCTTGCCTGACAACACCTTCTCCCTGGCCCCGTGCCTAGTCCCGAGCAGAATTAGCAAACAGGAAGTGCAGGCCCCAGTGGACTCCACTATCTCTACTCCTCTCTATGCTATTTCTATTGTGCATTCAATCTGTCCATGTGGGTGTCCTTGCTGTGAAATGACAAACCCCATATTATACTGCGGCTGGTGGGCTATTTTCATCCTCAGTGCTGTACAGATCTATTTTCATTGTATATTTGATATATTTTTAATTTTGTAGCGTGGCTGGGCCAGGCCCCAGCCTGTGAGCCTGCGGTGAGTGGGGGGAGGGGAACCGAGCCGAGGCTGCTTGCTTGTGCGTTGTGGGCTCTGTAGGGTTTGTCGTAGCCTTTAGCTGTAGGCCGGAACCTGTCCTGGTTGCATCTTTGCTGTGAGTTGGACATAGGTCCTAGAGCACGTGCTCCCTTTCTCCGTGAGTGTGTGTGTGTGTGTGTGTGTGTGTGTGTGTGTGTGAGAGAGAGAGAGAGAGAGAGAGAGAGAGAGAGAGAGAGAGAGACATTGGTAGGTGTGAGTGCATAAGGTGCTGATCTGTGATACCCCCACCCCCCACCCCCCCACCCAGTGTTCACCACCTTCTGAAGACCTGGGTCTTCCTCTTAGCTCTATGGGGAAGCCTCAGGACAGACACTTCAGAGAGCACTAGCTATGGGGAAAGGCTTGCTTCCCACAGGTGACTCATGTCTCATGTCCTTCCATGGAAGGACGGCCTTGGGTGGCGGGGGAGCCCCATTTATTTTCTAGCCAACCTTCTGTTGTTCACCCTGGAGGCACTCGGTCTTCAGCAGACAGCGCTGGGTTTCTTAGGACAGCTGTCCGAGGGAGGCGTCTCTCTGCCTTTCTGTCCTGCATTTGACCTTGAAAGAGTCCTGAGTACCCAGAAAGCAACAGCTGCTCCTTAGACCTCTGCTGGCTCCTCAGGAGAGATGAGGTGAAGTCTCCTGACACTGAAGATCAAGCCCCAGCTTCCTTGGAGGACCTGGCAGTGAGGGCCAGGATCCCCACTGCTGCTGGTTAGTGCTGCCCAAACAGTGCCCACCAGGAGACAAGGGGTTTCGGGGGGGCTGTGAGTCAATTGAGTTGGGGCAGGGCAGAGGTACACCTAAGGGTTCCCTGTTCTGCCTGTCCCCCAGCCCCAGTCACCAGCCTCTTGCTCAGGGAGCCCTTGGGCCCCTCTTCCGGGAGACAGTGTGAAGCCTGAGGCCCAATTTGGGTGGTGGGGGAGACATGAGGCACCCAAGGGAAAGCAGGTGAGGTTGGCATCTGCCATCAAGCAATAAATCTTCAGGGGCTGCCGCTTTTTAAGTGCCAGGAAATGCCCTCCAGAGGCAGCCTGTGTGAGCCCTGAGGCTGAGCCAGCCCCACACAGGCCTGCAAGTATTAACAGGTAGGGACTGCCCTTCTTCCTTTCCTTATCGTACCCCTCCCCCAACCAGAGTAGGCCCCACTGTGAAAAGGGAATGAAAGCGAGGCGGGTCACAATACACCTGTGACTCTGTACCCTGCTGGTCCCTCCCCTTAGGTCTGAAAGGGCAGGGAACTGGTGGAGGAGGGCCCAGGGTCATTTCTCATGAGAAGTCCTGCTTTAAACAGACCTAAACACATATCAGGCAGTCTCTTCAGGGCCAGGCACAGGTTCAGAGCAGTTAGAATCCATGTGTCCTGGACTGGTCAGAGCCCTGAGTCAGGATACTCAGCCCAGGAGAGGGGATGAGGCAATGCCACCCCAGGGCCCCTCCTTCGTCTCCCCTACCCTGGTGTACAATAAAGTGTCTGTTCTTACCACTCTCTCTTGCCTTTCTTACACTTACAGGGGTGCGGGGAGCTGAGGGGAGCTTTGGGACAATAGTGTCATTTTATTCTTATGGATGCTGGCTGAGAAATTTGAGGATGGATATCCAGTTTCCTGGGAGCTTCCCTAGGTATTGACGATGTGCGCACTGTTTTTGGCCTTACTATGTCTCAGCGACTGTACAGCTAAGGTCTTTTCTCTGAGGGAAATGTTTGGAACCTACATTTTTTTTTTCCTGGGCGAGGAAAATGAGGCTCTGTCTAATATGAGGATGTGCTGCTCAGTGTCCTCTTCCAGGACTTTTCAGGGGTCATTCCTCTGCCTGGCTTCAGGGAAAAACGACATATGTACACTCTGCAAGGGTGCAGTACCAGAGGTCTGTGGGGAACACAAAAGGCAGGGGCCTGACTTGGTCCTTAGGGAAGTGGGCTGGTTCCAGAAAGCCGTGCTCTAAGTGCTGAGAGTCCCCCCCAACACACACACACTGCAAATGCTGTCCTTTGGAATCTTCAGCGGAAGCTACAGGTGAAGTATAAGGTGTGATACCCCAAGTTTTGTTATATAAGCACCCACTGAATGCAGGACCGTGAAGAACAGAGAGAGCTGGTGGCGGAGAAGCCCCTTTCTTGCCTCCACTAGGAGCACAGTCTCGGGAAGAACCTCACTCTCTTCCAGCCCCATCCTGGTCTGGATCAACGCTGCCCACCCTGCCCTCCCTCTCTGTCTCATTCAGCAGGGCCCTCCAAAGGGACCTTCCATTTCCTGTCCCTGTCTCCCGTTGTTCCACGAGCAGCCACCAGGTGGCAGGAACCCCTTTCTGTCCATGTTTTAGCCTGGGAAACCTCCTCTTCAACTGTCACAGACTCTGCTTGCAGAGTATTCATAATAAACATTAAGAATGCACCATGGGGTAGACTCCATGTTAGCCAGAGACACCCCCAGAACAGGCAAACCAGCACCCAGTGCCCTGATTTGACCAAGGAGGCACCTCTTTTGTTCCATCAAATCCCCCTACTTATCTCTCAGACAAGGGAATGTCCCAGTGTTGGACAAATCATTCTATATACAGCTACTCAGACTTCTGGGAAATTTGGTTGAAATGGCAGCTATCCCTCCAGGAGGGGTACACGGACCCTAAGACACTATATAAGGGCTTCACGGCAGTGGAGCTCGGAAGCTAAGTCCTCAAAGTAAAGTTTAAGTGTCAGGATGGTCTTGTCTTTCCCGAGAGACCTTAGGCAAGTTACTTAATCTCTCTGAGCCTACCTTTTCTAATTTAGAAGAGGGGAGGGGGAAGAAGAAGAGGGGGAGAGAATAGTTTGAAGTAGATAACACACCTGAATCAATAATCTTTTGCCGTACTCCGAATCAGTCCAAATTTTAAAATAACCATCATACCATACCTCATGATTTTGTGAATGGGGAATTCCAGTATGGATTAGGCCTGTAGATCAGTGGGAACTAAGGGGTATTCAGTTCATGGAAGAGCTGGTCTGGAAGTCCCAAGGGAGCCTTTCCTCACATGCATCAAATATCTAATTCCTGCGTAGAAATGGGTAGGAGTGGGGTTCAGCTGGGCTTGCTCGTCAGAGTGACTTTCTGCAACTGACCTTTCTGACACAGTTCATTTCTAGGGACCAGATTCTCACCTGATGGCTCACAGTGCCTGGGGAGACCATTTCAAGAGCAAAAAATAAAAAATAAATAAAAATAAAAATAAAAAAACGGAAGCTCAGCTGGAAGCTGCCTATTTCTTGAGGCCTGGGCTTGGGGATATTTCGCCTCCACCATGGTCTATGGGCCTTGGCATCTGTTCATAGGGCACCCAGACCTCACTGTAGATTAGAAATGGGAGGATACCACTCTGGGGCATCGGACGTCTCCATCATCCATCGTGGGCATGTCTGTGGATGCTTTTCCTGAGAGGATCTCAGTATGAAGTGCAGAACTGAGACACACAGGGAATCTCTCCTAATGAGGAGGTGAGCAGCTAAATTCGGGGCCTGAATGGAGGCAGTGAGCAGCAAGATGATAAGGGCATGCTGAAGAACACGAGAGAGTTTCTGCCCCATTTTCACCCCAGGGGCAGGCAGTGTGAGGTTGTTCCAATCATGAGTCTCTCACCAACCTTGGGCAGACCACTTAACCTTCTGAGCCCTGTATGACAATAAAATCTCTTCCTTGAGATGCTGGAAGAAATAAACGGACTCCTGAGGTACCAGTTGGAACCTAGCAGAGAAGTTTTTTCCATAGGGGGTTCTAACACATGATAAGTAAGCACAGCTCTCTTCTCGATTCCAAACCTGGGTGAGTGCATCTACCAGTGCAATAAACCAGCATCCTAGGACCATTGTTAAAAGACAGTCTCAGCCTAACTCAGGAAAAAGCCAAGGAAGGAGAAAAGAGAATGTCCCTTTCCAGGGAAGTGGGTGCTCACTAATCCCACCAGGGTTGTGTTTGCTCCTTAGCCACAGCCAGACACAGAGCCTCATCCAGCCCATAGGCATGGGCTAAAGAATGCTATAAGCTCCAGGAATGTGGCAGCTCATTTGTTGGTGAATTTTCAAAGGATTCTTTAACTCTTCTCCCATCAAGAAATTTCTCTACCTTTCCTCTTGAATTTGGGCAAGCAAATCCCCTCTTTGACCAACAGAAAATGGAGGAAATAATACTATGTGACTTGCAAGGAAGGCTGCATCAACAAGGAGAGTTCCACTTCCTCGCGGTGTTCTAGGGATAATGGTTCCTGGGGGAGCTCGCTGCTTTGTGAAGTTAGCCCTGGTACCAGAGACTACAAGGCTAGAAGCCATGAGGGATAATGGTTCCTGGGGGAGCTCTCTGCTTTGTAAGGTTAGCCCTGGTACCTCACAGAGACAATAGGGCTAGAAGCCGTGTGTTTATGCTTCTATTGACAGCTTCAGCTGAGCTCTTAGCCGATGGCCGTGTCAACCACCAGCCATGGGAGTGTGTCGTATTGAACACTCGGCTCAGGAGTCTCATGGATTTGCAGTACCAGTGGGTGTGTGATTGCAGTTGCATGAGTTCCAAGCACTGCTCAACGGAGCCCTTCCTACCTTTCTGGCCCATAAACAAGAATGAATGAAAGAAAATGACTGTTAAACTTACATTTTAGGTCAATTTGTTTCACAGTGAAAATAACCAGGAAGTGAATCTGAGGGCTTCTCTGACCAAATCACCTCATATAACAGTTGAGGACATAGAGGCCAGGGGTAAGAATTCCTACAACCAAGCAGAGGGGAAACCGTGGCCAAAGCCTGCTTTCCCGATCCAACCCAGTGGATGGTTTCCCATGCTGCAAGGCCCTGATGGGAGGGACCCCAACCGTCTCCTGCTTCTAACCTTCCTCCTCTGATCCCTTGCATCGGGCATGGCACAGGTATTCAGAGTGCCTAGAATTGTACTAACCACTGAGAATCTGCACAAAGGCTCGGATCAGGCAGGGTTTCTTGTCTTGTACAATCACAATGAGACTTGGTGTGTCCACCTTCCTGTGGTGCCAGGCACACTAGCTTAGGTGGGAAGGAACCTGGGAGCTGGGGAGAAGACGAGCAAGTCAACAGAAAACGTATCATGAATAAGATCACTCCATGCACAGCAGAAGGACCTGGTAGGGGGCCACTCCCAGGCTCCCAGGGTCTTCCCTCATGTCAGAAGGGCTGTATCTGTGCACTTTATGACTGACCTAACAAGAGCCTGGGTTTGAATTGTCTCTCCAGACAGCTGCTCCCCTTTCTCCAGGATCCTGCTGGAGGGGATCCGGCCCATCAGTACTAATTAACTACTCTACTGGAAGGAACCTGCTCCTTTGGAACTTAGCCCAGGTAGGAGGAATCTGTACTTTTCTGGATGGAGAGATGTTGAGTGCCAGGGAGTCATGCCAGCTGGGCCCCGCACTGTGTGTGTGTGTGTGTGTGTGTGTGTGTGTGTGTGTGTGTGTGTACACACTCCTCAGTCCCAGCTGCCTCCCAGAGCCCAACAGCCTTGATGGAAAAATGCCTGGAGGGGTCCCTTAAGCTGCCTCTGTGATTCTCATTTACACTGTCCTACACGTGGAGACCACATAAGCCTCCGTGCTTTCTCTGTTTGGGGCCCAAACCCAGCTGTGTAGCTCCATCTCCAAGGTTCACTGCTGCTGCATAGACCTGAAATCCCTTAACAGGAACATGCCTCTGAGGTAGCACTGGGTCCCTCCCAGCATACCCTGCTCCCTTCCAGCCCAGCCCTATAGCACTAAGCCAGTTTCTGAAGCCCTGAGGTCTGACCCAGCCTGAGTTATGATCTGCACCTTTCTGGTCTCTTCCTTTTAAGAGATGGAAGGGCATCAAAGGGTGTCTGGAGTTCCCTGAGATCTTTAAAGCAATACAAGAGCCTGAAGCTCTTGTCAGAATCAGTGTAGCTGGCCTCCACATGGCCCACAGGGCTCTGGGCCATTGTCTTAGGTATGTTCTTTCTAGACCCTTCCTGAGACAGCTCTCCCATGTGATTTGGAGCCCGAGAGCCTGGGGGTGGGAGTGGAAGAATAAGATGAGCTGTTGAGCAAACAAGTTTGCAGTCTCCTCTTGCCCGCCCTCCTCACCCTGCACAGAATAAAGGCCTGCCACATGTGCCTGGTGATGAGCTCCGATAAAGCAATTCAATTTGCTAGGCCAAGAGGGAGCGGGGCATGCTGGGAAAGGATGCTGGCTCCTTGGCCTGGATCTGAAAAAGGAGGGGTTGGTCCCTGGCAGGATCTGGAATGCTAAGAGAGAGACGTGAGCACCAAAGGATTATGACTTTGCCCTGATCGCCATAGGCCAGTTCCTTGGCCTGGAACCTCTCAGAAAAGGAGATCCCAAAGGACGGTAGAAGACAGGTCAGATAGCACCTGTTACCCCCAAGAGGGAGACCATATGCATGTTCTAAATGGGGGAAAGACTTTGATTTTAGCCTTTCCGTTTCCCTTTGGCCTCTATAAGGAGGGGAGAGGCTTCTTCGAGAGCCCTACAAAGGATACAGGAGCTCGAGAGCATGTACCGGCATCACTCTGGATTTCGGCTTTGCCTTCTGCCCTTATTCTTTGGCTAACCCCTTAATTCTAGCTAGGGAACTTACTTGGTCTGATATCTGATTCCACAGTGTGAACTGGCTCTAGATGCTCTTGTTGACAGCCAAAAAGAAAAATCCCAGGTGAGAAAGGAGAGGAAAGACTAAGATGAAGAGAGAGCCGTAGGATGAAGCCGCAGGATGAAGTTGGGGAGAGGATCGGGGTGAAGCAGGGGTTGGAAGTAGGCTTGCTTACTTTTGTACGCTGTCAGGATCTTAGGAAATGAAAAACAGAGAGGGTGGGCATTTTCCTGGGTATGTTAGGGTGGGGCTAAGCCTTGAGGTCTTGGAATCAGCAGGAATCCATGGACCAGCAGCTACTAGGAACCAATAGCAAACTGCCCGTTTCCTACACACCTAACAGCTTGGAGCAGAGGACAAGCTAGTTAAGCACCACCAGGGGGCAGCACCCACCCACTCACAGCAGGGCAGGGGGCTCACATTTTTCAGGAGTGTAGGTTTGGAAGAGAATAATAGCATTACCTCACACACAGAGATGAGAGCAATAGGCTTTTGCGTGCCAACCTTACTAGCCCAGAGAAAAAGGCCCATGAAGTGGGTTAATCCAGAGCTTTAGGATAAACTGTCAGTAGGGGCTGGCCCTCCTCCTAGACCACCTTTACCAATTCTTTTCTTGAGTTCTTCTTGGGACCCCCTAGCTCCAGACCAGCTTTCTCATCTCCCTCTCTGATTTTGTGGCCTTTTTTTCTTCCTGGCTGGGTTCCTCCTGCATTCTCTGCAGACACTCATCACCACCCCACTAAGATTGCAGATGGACGCACAAACTGGACAGCGGTTTCCCTGGGCTAGAGATGGGGATTTTCTCAATCATGTTGCAAAATTTGTTTTTGCTGCAGCCAAACTCTGAAATCCCGACAGCGTGTCTGAGGAGTCGGGGGTGCACAAAGAGGATCCCACAAATGAGCGCTTCTGACTGAGGTGAAGATGAGGGTGTGGCCCTCGCTTGCATGCTAGTTCAAATCATCAAAGATTATTATTTTTATTTACTTCATTCATGATGAAACCCTTGCTTATAAAAATCCCTTGCATTTATGTTGGACTTTTAACCTCTCTCTGAAGAACAGGCAAGCCCCAGGCTTGCAGATAGTTTATTGTTTTGTTCGCCTCATCCAGAAATCGGATGGTACACATGTAGTATGAGGTATGGTGTGTCAATCATCCTGCACTCTGTTTAAACCTCCTCTTCATATCACGCAGAGCGCCTGCAGCAGAGAGAGGCAAAGGAGATGGAGAGGGAGGAGAGTAAAGACATAGGTGTGGTTCTGGGCTTAAAAAAAAAAACAACTAAAAACCAATGAAAATGGAAATTGCTCTTGGGACACGGCCAGCAAGATCCAATGCTTCATGTTTTGGATATGGCAGCTTCTCAATTACTTAGCAAATGGGTCCTCAGAGGCAATATGAAAAAAACAGTGCAGCCTAGAGGAGCCCAGAGACAGGGAGAGAAGACGAACCACAGGAAAAGACAAACTGCAAGGAATGGGACAGTAATATGATCCTAAGATGGCATAAGGCAGAGTGTGGCCCTTCCTGTGGTCCCTTCATAGCAACAGGGAGCAGGGCCTTCAACCTGACGATCTTCAGGGCCACACTCACCATTTCTTCAAGGAGAGCCTCAGGTTTAGGACTTCCCTCCACCTAGACCCAAAGCACTTCCCTGCTCAGCACCATGCTGTCCTGGTTCCAAGGTGGAGGCTGTGATGACTATGGCAGAGATCATGACTATCAAGATCTAAAGCACCCAAGATACGGGCCATGGTGGTCAGAAGGCCCTAAACAGTGTTTCCGGAGGAGGAGAGGACAGCTTCTTTGATGTACAGCCTTACCACTCTATTCCATCCTGGATTCCACTCGGCCACAATGAAGCACTGAAACCGCAACAATACCACCGGGTTAGCTGCAAGCGAGACACAGGTTAGGTTCTGTGTGAAGAGGCTCAGAGAAAGAGAGAGGTTAGAGGTCAGGAGTCGAGACCGCTTGAGTGTCACCAAGGGCTGCAGTGGGTGGAGCTGAGGGCTAGGGAGAGGCGGGGAGAGGGGCGAGAGGGGATGGCGGCGGAGGCGCGCAGGGGCGGCGCGCGGCGCTGGGCACTAGCTGTGAGCGGGGTACGCGCCTCGGTTGGTTTGGAATGCGCGGAGGAAGGCTGAGCTCCGCCGCCCGAGCTCCGCAACGCACCTAATCGGCCCGGCGCCGCGCCGCGCCGCGCCCATCCCGCCCCGCGGAGGGTGCGCTGGGGTCAGGCGGGGCCGCGAGGAAAAGGCGCCACTTGGAGCGCCAAAACCGCTGCCATCGCGGGAGGGAGACGCAGAACCCTCGGAGCCCCATTCTTCTGGCGCCCAGGCGTTCCCTCCCTTAGACCACCTCGCGCCCGCCCCTAACAGCGAGCCAAGGCCGGCGCCCCGCCCGGAGATGGGCAGACGCGTAGATGGCGCGGCTCCCGGCGCCGCCGCCAGATCGCAGGAACCCGGCGCCGGGGCGCTGCGCTGAGGCTCCCTCTTGGCGCGGCCCTGGAAGCCTGCAGGTGTCCTTGGCCATTCGGCCGCCGCCGGGATACTCCTTCGCCAGCGCCGGGTGCCAGATTCTTCAGAGCAGCCCCGCCCTCCAGGCTCTGCGCCGCGCAGGACGCCCCGTCTGAGCCCCCCCTCGTCCCGCTGCGGCCCCCGCAGCGCGGCATCCAGCCCGGCGCAGATCCCGGCCGCGGACGCAGGACCCGGGCTCTCTGCTGCGGGCTTGCTTGTTTTCCTGCTGCCGCCTGGTCCTACACAGCCCCCGCCCGCCGGTCCCTCTCGCTCGGTTCAGCCCCGCCCGCCCGCCATCGGTGCTCCGCGCTGGATTTATGAATGGGGGGAAGAGGCCACATGCAGCCACCGCCGCCTCGAGTTGACCGCACACTGCCCGGCCCCGCAGAGCTCCGGCTACCCTAAGAGCATCCGCCTGGCCCCGGTTGCCGCTCCGAGGACTTGTTGCTGTTACGCTGCTGCCGTTGCCACCGCCGCCGTTGCCACCCGGAGAAAACCAGCTGCCTTCAGGCTCGACGAGGACTGGAAGCCAAAAGGTGGCCCGCGTGAGTGTGAGCGCGCGCGCCGCGGACCCTCGCAGTGCTCCGGGACTGTGCGCTTCTCCGTCTTTCTGGGGTTGGGGGCGTGTCCCCGGCCCCGAGCATCCTTGGGCTTGCCCCTACCTCCCGGGACCCCTGGCTTGAGTCCTCGACCCTGGTCTCCACTTCCTTCCTCCCTAGGCTCTGCCTGACCAAATTCCAACCACCTGTACACCAGAGAAACCCAACTCCTCCTGCTCCGCGCCCTGGGGGGGAGGGAGGGAGGCAGGGGCAGAGCCACGCCGCCGAAGGGGCCGCCACTGCCTCCTGCCTCCTCCTCCACCTCCTCCTCCTCCACCTCCTCCTCGTCTCCTCCCCCTCCCCGGTCTGACGCTGCCTCCTTGGGAAGGGTGTTTGGAGGGCAGCGGCCGCCCCAAGCCGGAGCCCCGTAGCGCTTCTTATGATCAGCTCGGTGTGTGTCTCCTCCTACCGCGGGCGCAAGTCGGGGAACAAGCCTCCGTCCAAAACATGTCTGAAGGAGGAGATGGCCAAGGGCGAGGCGTCGGAGAAGATCATCATCAACGTGGGCGGCACGCGACATGAGACCTACCGCAGCACCCTGCGCACTCTACCGGGCACCCGCCTTGCCTGGCTGGCGGATCCCGACGGCGGGGGTCGGCAGGAGTCGGATGGCGGCGGTGCAGGCAGCAGCGGCAGCAGCGGTGGTGGGGGCTGTGAGTTCTTCTTTGATCGGCACCCGGGTGTTTTTGCCTATGTGCTCAACTACTACCGTACCGGTAAGCTGCACTGCCCCGCCGACGTCTGTGGGCCTCTCTTCGAGGAAGAGCTCACCTTCTGGGGTATTGATGAAACTGATGTGGAGCCTTGCTGCTGGATGACCTATAGGCAGCACCGCGATGCTGAAGAGGCACTGGACATCTTCGAGAGCCCGGACGGGGGCGGGGGTGGCGCAGGGCCCAGCGATGAGGCTGGCGACGATGAGCGGGAGTTGGCCTTGCAGCGTCTGGGCCCCCATGAGGGAGGCGCGGGCTCTGGTGCTGGATCCGGGGGCTGCCGTGGCTGGCAGCCCCGAATGTGGGCGCTCTTCGAGGATCCCTACTCATCCCGGGCAGCCAGGGTGAGTGGCAGAAGCCAGGGTCTCCCCATCTCGGTGTCCAGTGGGCTCTTGGTGCTGGTGTTGGTGGGTCCGATGGGGGGGGGGGTGGTGGTGGAAGGAGATTGATATACCTGGCAGACTGTACCTGCCTGCCTCCCAGTTCCCTCATGGGCCCTTGGAAGTCACCCCTCCCTTCTGCATGCTCCATTAGGAGATTGCACACACTTGACTCTCTCCTTGGACCTAATCCCAGCTGTCGGCTTTGCCACATGCCCCTCAGTGAGTGGCATGCCTTCAACTTGGCTTTTCTTGCTCCTCTTTGGTCAGCGTGGTTGCCCTGTACAGGACCGCAGTCCTGGAGTGCTTGAATTTGACCTTTTTTTGCAGGGAGTAAGGCAGGATCAAGAGAAGGAATTCGTGGATTGAGTTGGACACTTACCTGTTTCCATCTTGCCAGCAGCTCCCTGTGCAGGCAGCTAAGCATCGCAGAGAAGGGGGCATAGTTTCCAGAATGCCTAGCTCATAAGAAGCAGAGATCCTCAGAGCCCAAACCTTTCCTGGTCTAGGACCTTTCTTCCAGGGAGCAGGCCCTGTCCCAAGGCTTTCCACACCTCTGTCATAGTCTGGCCTCTCTGTGTGGACAGGATAAAGCCACTGCTTTGGGCTCTTCAGGGTCCCAGGACACTGGATAGCCACAAGCTTGCTAGTGATGGTCAGACTTGTCACTGCTCTTTTCTCTCTGCTCTAGCACAAAGTGGCTTCCCAGAAAGCCCTGGTTCAGGTTACACTGGAAATGGCTGTGTGGGGAGAAGGGGAAACAGGTTGATTTAGACAAGACCTAGTCCCTACCCTGAAGGTGGTGGTGGTGGTGGGGTGCTAGAAAGATATGTATTCATTCACTCCGGCATGCTTGGGCAGCTAAAACCCTGAAGAAGGCTTTAGAAATTTAAAAACAAAAAAGCCTGCAGGCTGGTATCTGCTCTCATGGACCTTAGCCTCAAAGCTGGCTGAGAGCTGTCTAGGAGACAGGAGAAAGAAAAGAGAGACAGGGTGACAAGCTGTGTTTGAGATCTGTTTCTGTGAGCTGAAGCTGGTCTGATTGGTTCCTTTGGCGTCCCAGGTTGTCATGTTAGTGAGTCTCAGAGCCTTGCTCTCCATCTCCCCTCAACACCCCACGGACCGGTCCTCACCCTAGTCATGGGAGAAAAAGTTCCACTTCCTACCCAGGGGAGAGTGGAGGGTTGAGGAATTCAGCTAAAGGGATGCGTTAGGCTGGTATAAATACCAAGCCAGGGCAATGCAGCTCCTCCCTGGAAGAGAAAGGAGGTGGAGATCCTAGCCAGAGGTTCCACGCAGTGCTGGGACTTTAAGTAGCCACTGGAAATCTGGACTCTTTTCAGGCCCTGTCTATTCTAGCTGCTTTGGTTTAAAGCTTTGTGGTCCTGAAAACCAGCTAAGAAGTGGGGAGCACAGCAATGCCTCTGGCCAGTGCACCCCTGCTGGGAGTTTATTAGCCCTGATGGCCCTTAGTTTGTCTTTACTAGGAGAGAGAGACAATCACAAGCCATTGAGACTTTTTCAAAGTCATGGGGCAGGGAGGAGGCAGAAAGGGGCCCAAACCAGGGAAGCTTTTATGGGAAGAGATGACTGAGGGAACTGGGCCCTATTTCTGAGCATTCTGGGGCCCCTGCTTTCTTTTTCCCTCTGTAATTGCGAGAGACTCTACCATCAAGTAGAGGGTTAGTTCTCCCATTTAAGTAGGGAAAGAACCAGGATTCGAACACATTAACTGTCTGGCCAAAGCCATCCTTAGTTTCTAACCTTCAGATCATTAGCATGGATGGGAATAACGCTGTGGAGCTCTGGCTGACACGTGTCAAAAGACTTGCCCACAGCTGAGGAACACAGGCAGAGACCAGTTCTGAACCGTTCTGGTCACATAAGTGAGAATACACAATTTATTAAAAAATGAATAACAACTCTTTATTGAGCATCCTGTACCAATGCTTTGCTGTGAAGACATTACATTAATCTCTACTCTTCCTAAAGAACTTTAAACAATGTCCAGTTAACAGATGGAGTCTGGGAGCAAGTAAATCACTGACCTGGGATTACAGCACTCCTGCAGGGCTTTGAATCAAAACTGAGGCTCCTTACTCTGTAACTACCACAAGCCTTCTCTACTGGGTGAGGCTGTTTGCTGGGTGGAGAAGTGGCTAGCTCCTTGCTCCAGCCTGCTCAGAGTCCTGAGCCTCTTCTCTACTGTGAATAAACATCAGAAGCCCAGGAACCAATGGCACTCAGAAGTCCGAGGGGACATTAGAAGGGCCACTTGCCCTGTTACTACTCCTTAAGACTTGAGGGCCCAGTGGGAGAGTTGGGAAGCTGCATTTGTTTTCTCCACTGACCCCCAAGTTGTCAGAACTGTCCCCACAGGAGCTCTGCACTGTTGGATATGCATGCATCCCATCCCAATCAGCTGCAGTTTTCCCGGAAGGAGTTTGCAACACTAGAGGTTTTGTAGACTCACAATGTCACCTAGGAGGGCACATGAGGGCAGAGGAGCTGTGCTCTCGGCCTTGAGGCGTCTCTTCACATACAGCAGTTCAGCCATTTGAATAGTACGTTAGACAGGAGCAAAACAGACGCAAACAACAAAGTGAACTGAGCTAATTAGGAGAGCCTGTTGCCTAGCTACTGGCCGGGCTATCAGCTGGTCCATTCAGGAAGGCTCTGAGGCAGGATGATCACCCCTACTGCCTCCACTGTCGTCAGTCAGGCCGCTCCTGCGGTTCTGTTTCTGTGGCTTGAGCTGAGGGCAGGCTGGTTCTGTCTTTAGCCTCTCATGGACACTGCCCTGGAGCAGAGCAAAGGCTTCCTTAGGCTGTTGTATAACCCAGGAGAGGCCAGGAGGGGTTCGCGCAGCACTCAGAGCCATAGAATCTTGCCTTGTTCCTTCTGAGAACAGACTAGAGGCCTACCTCAGGGACCCTGGGCTACCTTGCTTCCTTGTTCTGTTCTTTAGGTCCCAAGCTGCGATGGATTTAATTCAGCTATCAGCTGTATAAAGGGCCACGGCCCTTCTCTTTTGGCTAAGGTTCTTGGCTGGATCTTTTTTCTTTCCATGTTTCTCTTCAGAATAGAAGGGGCTGATCACAGGATCCCCAATGCCTCAGGAGGGCAGCTAGACACGAATGTTTCTCTTTCTCAGGTTGTGTGACAGGAGCTTGGCTTGGGCTTTCTTCTGCTACCTCCTCTGGCTCAGGAGAGGCAGGAATCGTTCACCTCAGTGAACAGATAAGAACACAGAGTCACAGTGACACCTGCCTAGACAGCACAGCCCGTAGCATTAGAATCCAATCTCAGCTCTCAAGAGTCCACTCTGTTGCTGCTACTCCTGCCTTGCAACTCCAGCCCAGAAAGGGTCTCTGGCTTCTGGAGGGCTTGGGGGTGGCCTTCACTGGAGAGTCTCCTCCTCCACTCCACTCCTAGCCCCTTCTTATTTCTTATCACTTCTAGAATTGCCTTGGTCTGACCCTTCGCTCTCACTTTTTCACCAGGTAACTTTGATAAAAAATAGAGGCCAGACTTGGTTACAAATAAATATTAGGTTGTGGGGCAGAGGGTCAAAACTCGGGCCCCTTTAGAGGTCTGACATTGTTGGTAGCCACGGTAGTCATGACGGGCTTCAGAGTGAGGGCCGGCACCACTGATGCTGTGCCCTCTGAGTCTGGGTACAGGGTGAACATGAAACATGAGTCCAGCAGGGTAGTGCCAACCCACCCTGGGTGGTCAGAGGCTGAAGACTCCCCGCGGATCCTGCCTCAGGCAGCCTCTCAGGTTCCTCTCGGGTTCCTCCAAGTGTTGTTTCTCTTTCTCACTCTGAAGAGATCAACATTTGCCTCAGAGCATCTTGTCTATAGATGATGCGTTGTTTCTGTTTGTCACCATTTTTGTGAGAATGTGGAGTGGGGGAGGGGAGTGAAATTAAACAGCCTCTTTTGGAGATCCGAGGAGAAAGCAGACAGGAGCAGAGAGTTAGGTAACTGGGCCATGGGGAGAGCTAGCTCCTTGATCCCTTCACCTCCACAGTGGACATTGTTAGTCTAGATGCTGGGTACCAGCCACTCCCAACAGCCTGGGTACTACCAACCCACCACGATGGCCCACCTCCCTGCTGATTTTCCTTCCGGCCATGAAGTAGTCACCCAGTGCTTAGCAAGGACTCCCGTCAGAAGTAGGTTTGGCCCACTCTAGAGCGTTGTCAAGGTGCTAGGTCCCTGGAATCTGGAGGTACTCCTGGGTATACCTTTGTCACCTCTAGCCCCAGTCCTGTAGCTAAATGATCCCTTCTCCTGACAGCTTGCCTGTCCTGTGAGAAGAAGCTACAGTTACCTCGGTTCTAGGCATCTAGAAGATACTGACTATGCACTTGCTCCATGGTAGCTACATGCGGCTGGGTTCTAGAAACGTAACGAAGAGGCCAGTGGTCTGGGGAGAGCTAGGGCAGGCAGAGAGGCGTTAATGACAAGGACCGGCAACAGTAATTGTAGATGTGTCGTGATGGGTGATGTGGTAGTTGTAAAAGATAAAGCCCAATAGGCAGAGAGGAGTGACAAGCCCCACCTCTAAATGGGGTGATGACTTATCTCCTTGAATGATGGCATTGCTATAGAAACACATGGTGCCCAACTCTGCAGAGTCAGGGACAGGATTGTCTGGCCAGGGAAGGCAAGTCTGCATGGGACATGGCAGAATGGAACTTGACCAACGAGAGGCTTTTGGACAATGACTTGGGTTGGATCTGGTCCCATTTGGTTGAGGACTCACAGGAAGGGTGACCACAGGGGAAGGGCAGCACTAGTTGCTGGAACTAGGGATTGCTGGCTCACAACCAGGTTTGATAAAAAAGAGAAAGGGGGAGTGGCCCTCAGCTAGGATAGGGCCTCATGTATGTCTCACTTAGGAGCCAGGAGCTGCTTGGAGCTGCCTTTCTTGACAGGCCCTGTTCCTTCTTTCCTTTTAACCCCTGGGCTCCCCACTTAGTACCCAGCACTGCCTGTGTACTAAGCTCTAACTTCACCAGGAGGCTCAGCCCCTCACCCTGTCTCCACAGATCTTCTTCCTCTGCAAGCGTCTTTGGCTGTGTTCTCAATTTTTCCTTCTCCTACACGTCTTCCTTAATATAGGTTTTGGGCATGAGTCTCCTTATGTTTATCTGTCCATCTGTCTCCCTGGTCCTCCTTCCTTGGACTCCCCTGCCCAACCCCCACTGGTTGTATTCAGTTCCCATTGACTAGTGTCTGTCACCTCTCCACTCACCCAGCCTCTGCCAGATTCCTGGCCCTCCGGCTCTGTGCTAAATTTCACAGGTATCATTTCTTTTAGTTCTCAAACAACCGCACTAGGTAGATTCTGCTCTCATCCCCTCTAAGACTTGGGGTCTTTGCACGGTTGTTCCTGCTGCCTCGGGCTCTCTTTCCTTTACCGCTACAGTCAGATTTCATCTTGTCCTTGTGATCTGGCCTGACTATCCGGTTTGAATTAGCTCTCTTTCTCTCTTAGCCTCCTTCTTCTTCTCTTTTCCTCCATAATGCTCATACCATTGATATGCTATGTAAGATGTCTGTCAGCAGTTTCTATCCACTAGGATGTAAGATCCAAAAGTCGGAAGTGTTTCTCTAGATTTTTCCTGCTGTTCCCAGCATAGTGGCACATAGTAGGTATTCAAGTTTCCTCTTTATAAATAACAATTCAGAGGCTACTTGGGGCTAAGAAAGTCAGAGGGGTCTCATAGGCATTTGATAACAGAACCCAGTTTGAACCCAAAAGTGTGATCTTTCATTTGTTCCAGTACAGTGGAGCAGAAGGAAAAGCTGGTAACTGGGTTGATAGTTGCAACGCTTGGGCCTTTAGTGATGGGCAGGTCCCTTGAAGGCCATAATAGCCAGCACGTGTGTGAGGGTGTCTCAGGGGAACAGGGAGCTGGAAGGAGTGTTGTCCTGACATCCAGGGTCTCCTGTCCCCAGTGCTGAGGCCCAGCTACCTCCCCTAGCAGATACAGTCAGTTCACTCCAACAGTCTTCTGCCTGGGCAGTTTTGACTGCCGTTAGAATCCACAGCCTGTGTCCTCTTGCCAAGGAGAGAGCTGCCAGTTTCACCCATGGCCTCCAGGACAAACCGCTTCTAGCCTTCAGGTTTCCTTGTCTCCAAGAGCAGAAAGGGAGTTGACTTGTATAAACTTCTCAGGATTTGGTGGCTTGTCAGTTTTAGACGCAGGAGGGGGCTCCCCCAGAGACTGCCTCCACCTCAGCTCAGCACTTAGCAGATTTTAGACACCTGCTGTGGCGCGGCTCATGCATCCTCCAGGGAGGGTGTGAGGTGAGCACTTGTACGGTCCCAGCGTACAAGGAGAGAATGGCACGGAGGGCACACACTTACCCGACTGATTGTAAGAGACGGCAGACACCCAGCTAAGGCCGCCAGCCCTGGGCTCTTCAGCTCTGCTTTGCCCTCAGGCTGGCAGTGCTAGGCCTGATGAGAGGGAGGCTCACGCACAACTGACAGACCTACAGAATTGCTGCTCATGGGGGCTAAAGTTTAAACACAGGCTGTGACCCCTTGCAGGTTGCTATTGCTGTAGCTACTGTCTCTTGGGATCCCTTTTGTCCTGGGCAGCCTGAGTCAAGGGCCTTGTGGGAAATGAAATAGTATCCCTCCCTCAAAGATGAGGCCTGGCAAAAAGCTCTAATTACACCAGCCAACCACTTAGGAAACAATTGCCTGAGAGTGATGTAGAGGAGAGGAATACTGGAGGTCACTGGAGGCCCTAAAGGACCTGTACCACCTTATGGCAATCTTGGGATGGCTCTGTGAAAAAAAAAAAGCCAAAGAGACCACAGGAGTTGGGGATGTTTCTGCCTCACGTGAAGGTGGTCTGGGCCTTCCATCAGTACCTGCGGCAGAGGCAGCTGAGGAATGTAGGCTGTGGCAAAGGCTGGGCACCTGCCTGACCTTGTTTTTCCACATCACTAATTAACCTCACATTCAGGATCCCAGGTGGGCAGACTCTGTTGGCTAACGGTCCCTCAGAGAGAGAGAGAGAGAGAGAGAGAGAGAGAGAGAGAGAGAGAGAGAGAGAGCGCTAGCTCTTGGGCTTCCATGCCTCCTGGCAAAACCAGGAAGTGCTGTCCTAACCCCTCACTCTTATTCCTTCTGCTTCTTGGAGCACAGGGTGGAGCCAGGACCCTGTATTCCACAGCCACGGGCAGGCACTGTCACCAGCTCCTAATGGATGGCCATGGAGAGCCTGCAGTAGGCTGCGTTGTCTTGGCAGCCCATGTCTCAGGGGAGAAAAAGCGAGGCCAGCAAAAGCACTTGAAATTTACTTTCCCGAGGAGAAGTAGGTAGATGGACCCACTTCCCCAGCCTGTTCCTCTCCCTGCTGTCTATGTTCAACCCATCTAAAGAGTAAGGGAAATAACCCTGTCTTATGATGGGGGACCTGTCCTGGGAAGGCACATATCCTCGTGCTGGAATAGCGGGCACCAGGAAAGTGATGGCACAGGCTGCATCGGGGCCTGCATTCCTGGGCCTGTGAAGCAACTCTGCTCAGGGGATAGTAAAGATGGTATGGTATAAAGGAACGTCCAGACCACACGGTTTTGGGGTCATACCCGGTTCTTATGTGCTCTGGGGAGTGTGGTCCTAGAATAGACATGCAGCCTCTCTGACCATCAGTTCTTCCTTTGTGCAATGGAGAGTTGTGGTCTGTCTGCCTTGTCACTGAGGAGATGGAAGGCAGAGACACAGGTAGGGTGGCTGATAGTTCCGGGGAGAGAACAGATGGTGAATGTCATGACCAAAGTTCCTTCCTTGACTTCTTCTATCCCAGAGGGCTCTGGGGATGTGGGGTCTTGCCTGGTTTTCCATATCCCCCGTGTTTTCTGTTAGTGTCTTGTATTGCCTACTCCCTTTCAGTGTGGGCACACTATGAGGAAAACCCCAACAGGCAGAGCTGAGTGCTCGCTGCACGGGAAAAAGGACACGGCCAGGTAGAAATTAGGGCAGGGCAGGCACGGAGTTGTCAAATGTTGTACAGCCACGAAAATCCCTCAGTTACCTGTATAGGTTCAGTTCTCCACCCAGCGGGGGAAAGCCACGTCCCATCCTCCAAGCAGGACCAGTAGCAGGAGAGCGGACCTTGACAGTGAGTGTCTTGACAGTGCCACCGAATGGCATGGCATGAATAACAGATGAAGGCTCTGTAATTGGTGTTGTTACACATGAATCTCATCTCCATTCGTCATGACTGGACACTTAGTCCAGCCATTCCTCTGCCTGATACTGCTGTCATCATTCTAGCTGAGATCCCCACGGCTGTCAGGTCTGCTGCCGCCATTCTGGCCCTGATAAGTACAGTTCATTTGACTTGGAAGCTCAGGGTCCCGCTAGCATCAGTTTGCAGAAAAGGAGACACTGGTTGTTCTGAGAGCCTCCCCACCTCAACCTCCTGTTGTAGGCCATGGCTTAGAGTTTCTGTTGCTGTGAAGAGACTCCATGACCACGGCAGCTCTTATAAAGGAAGCATTCATTGGCGTAGCTTACATTTCCGGCGGTTTAGTCCATTATCATTATCGTGCGACATGGCGGTTTGCAGGCAGACATGGTGCTGGAGAAGTAGCTGAGCAGCCTACATCTTTACTTGTGGGCAACAAGAAGTGGTCTGGGATTCTGGGAGGTTTCTCTAGCATATGTGAGACCTCAAAGCCCGCCTCCACAGTGACACACTTCCTCCAACAAAGTCACACCTCCTAACAGTACCACTCCCTCTGGGGGCATTTTCCTTCCAATCACCATAGCCACGTTTGTCTTCATTCCTGGATTTACCACGGAGGCAGAAGGTGGTTCTAGGTGGCGGGGCGGGGTCATGGAGGCAGGTCATGTTAAAGGGGTCAGTTGGCAGAAAGTGGGTATTCCTTACAGCCCTTGTCTCTGGACATCCCCTAAAGCAACGGACCTTTATCTTGATGTATATCAGGGTCACCTAGATGATTTCCTAACGTTCTTCTTAGGTTCTGTGTCCTCCAAGTTTCTTTTCAGTAGGTCTATGTTGCTAAAATTTGCGTGTCTCACCCGTTTCCACACACTTGATGCTTCTGGTGTAAGCCCCCACTTTGGGAGCCTGATTATCCCGGGGGTAGTATGTGGACTACCCTTCACCTGGGAGCCTGTTAGAAAGGGGGGAATATAGACCCTTCCCCAAACCTCCTGAGTTAGCCACACTGGAACAAGTGATTTCAACTGATTTGTCCACACACCACAATTTGAGAAGCCTTAAAGCATAAATTGGGCAGAGCTGTAATAGTCAGGACCAGGAAGCTATGATACCCTGACTTGTGGTTTCCTCTGTCTTCTGAGCACCCTGGCAAAGATTAGGGGAAGCATTGCCCTGAAGCATCAGTGCATGTAAATCCTCTCATGTCTCTACCTTACTCCCACCCCTTGACCAGCAATGGGCTAGTAACCTATACGCTCTTGTTCCATGAGTAGAAGTCAGTGTTTCCAATGAGGCCAACTATTGTTGACATGACAACCACTCCCTGTTCTCCTGACCTACAGGTGGTAGCCTTTGCCTCTCTCTTCTTCATCCTGGTCTCCATTACCACCTTCTGCCTGGAGACCCACGAGGCCTTCAACATCGACCGCAACGTGACAGAGATCCACCGGGTAGGGAACATCACCAGCGTGCGCTTCCGGCGGGAGGTAGAAACAGAGCCCATCCTCACCTACATCGAGGGTGTGTGTGTGATGTGGTTCACTCTAGAGTTCCTGGTTCGCATTGTGTGCTGCCCAGACACACTGGACTTTGTCAAGAACCTGCTCAACATCATCGACTTTGTGGCCATCTTGCCCTTCTACCTGGAGGTGGGACTGAGTGGCCTGTCATCCAAGGCCGCTCGGGATGTGCTGGGTTTCCTGCGCGTGGTGCGCTTCGTCCGTATCCTGCGCATCTTCAAGCTCACGCGCCACTTTGTGGGGCTGCGCGTGCTGGGCCACACGCTCCGAGCCAGCACCAATGAGTTCCTGTTGCTTATCATCTTCCTGGCCCTGGGTGTGCTCATCTTTGCCACCATGATCTATTATGCTGAACGAATCGGGGCCAGGCCATCTGACCCACGGGGCAACGACCACACCGACTTCAAGAACATCCCCATTGGCTTCTGGTGGGCCGTGGTCACCATGACAACACTTGGCTATGGGGACATGTACCCGAAGACGTGGTCAGGAATGCTGGTTGGGGCCCTGTGTGCACTGGCTGGTGTGCTAACCATTGCCATGCCCGTGCCTGTCATCGTCAACAATTTTGGTATGTACTACTCCCTGGCTATGGCCAAGCAAAAGCTGCCCAAGAAGCGAAAGAAGCACGTACCGCGGCCAGCCCAGCTTGAGTCACCCATGTACTGCAAGTCTGAGGAAACTTCGCCCCGGGACAGCACCTACAGTGACACCAGCCCCCCTGCCCGGGAAGAGGGTATGGTTGAGAGGAAACGGGCAGGTAAGTCGAGCTTAGGCACAGGACTCCTTTTCCCCAAGTAGTCAGGGAGTTCCTTTGGCCCTTGATATTTGCGTCTGTGCTATATTGTGTAAACTTGCTGTGTGTCAGGCATGCCTCTAGGAGGGCAGCGTATTAAGATCAGTTGTTTTGTCCCATGGTTTAATGATTGTGGCGAACACCAGGGTCTGTGGAGTGAATTGTCCTTCCAGTGTTGGATGTGATGGCAGTGTATAGGACTGTGTGTTAGAAGGCAGGGTTTCTAGTTCCTCCTCGAGCCCCTTGTTTTGTTTGAGAGTCCCCTCCCCTCTAGGCACAACATGTCAATAGCAATGACGTATCAGGGTCCTGCCCCCAGATGAGGGGTGGATGTGCCTCACTCTGAGAAGTCAGAGCAAATGCCGGCGCTGATCCGATTAGCCAGAGACCAGGGCAGCTGCTCCTCCAAGGTGCATCAACACATGACTCACTTCTTTCCCAACATGCATGTCTGCTGTCTCTTGGCCTAATAGATGTGATAACGTAACCACGTGGGAGGCTGCCTTCTGTTCAGCTAAAGCTGGAGTGAGTCTTGGGCTCAGGGTTTGACATGGGTAGAAGGGAACTAGGGAAGAAGTAGCCCAGGGTCTTGGAAAAGCATGGGGGGAGGGTTAGGGACATGGAAGGTGCTAGTGTTTGTGTCCTGACAGGAGTAAGACTGGGCATCAAATCCTGACCTTCCATGGAAGGGCCACTCCAGGAAGCTCACCTGCCCTGGGTCAGAAGGGAGATCAGCCTGGTCCCCAAGAACATGGAAAGAGATTAGAAAGACAGGAAAAGCACTATCAGATTCAATGGGCAGAGCTCCCAGGAATGATACAAGCCCAGGTCTGGGGGGTGACTGGGTGTCAGGCCACCGAGGCTGGGCTGGGTAGACCTGGGAGACTGAGGCAGCAGCTCCTGGTTAGACTCTAGAAGTGGGACTAGTTCTCCAGAGAGGTGCCTGAGTTGAGACATTTAGACTTGTGACCCCTTGGCATGCAGCCATCACACTGTTGGGGCTAGGTGCTCTCTGGTATTAACTGGGGTCTGGATCTTCCTTGATAAAGACCTTAATAGGAAAGTTTCCTTCTGCTCCTTACCACAGTGGTGCCCCTGATCCTATTGGAATCAGAGATTTGCTCTGAGGTCCAGGCAGAGCTCAGAGAGGATCCGTGTGTCCCAATACAGAGGACCTTAGGCAGCTTCCTAGATGCGCACAGCACTGAGGCTTGACTTGGCCACACTGAGGTGTTGCATGGCCAGTGCCAGCGTCTTCAGGCTAGGTTAACCCCACCACATATAGTCAGAGCCCATAGTAGCTGTGCCCCTCTTTGACGAAGACAAGGTGTTCCCACAGAGAAGAGTTGAATTGGAGTCTCTTCCCTATACCTTCCCAGACAGAAGAGAGCTCTGCCCAAGCCCTTTCAGCGCTGGCCCCGGGTGCCCGAGGAACAGAATAACTGCCTTAAGTGGTGCAGGGAGAGAGCCAGCGACACTACTGAGTACACTTGGCACACAAGCCACCACCCATTACCCCTACTAGCCAGGTCTTCTCTGAGGAATGCTGACTCATCAAGAGCCTACCTGAGCCAGACCAGAGGGGAAGTAAGAATCTGTGCCTGCAGGGGTTGATCTCCGGGGACCTCCTTAGAAGCCCATTGGGGGACTACTGCGACTGTAGGATGTCTGTGTTGTGTTCCAGCCCACAAGGGAGGCTGTAAGCCTAAGCTGAGAGAAGAGTCTCCAGACCAGGCACCGCCATTTTGCTTTTGCTTCCTGGACCTGGAGTCTGAGAGGCTCCCTTAAGAAGGCCCCAGCAACTGTCTTAGCTTCTTTTCTCTCTGCCCCCTCCAGACTCTAAGCAGAATGGTGACGCAAACGCGGTGCTGTCTGATGAGGAGGGAGCTGGCCTCACCCAGCCCCTGGCCTCGGCCCCCACCCCTGAAGAGCGTCGGGCCCTGCGACGCTCAGGCACACGAGACAGAAACAAGAAAGCAGCTGCCTGCTTCCTGCTCAGTGCTGGGGACTATGCCTGTGCCGATGGCAGTGTCCGAAAAGGTATGGTGGCTCCCTGGGCTGGGCAGGTTGGGAGCCCCTCCAGAGCTGAGTCTCCCCAGCCCTCCCCACAGAGCTTGAGGTCTCCCCCTCCCCTAAGCCCATGGCCACCATCTCCTCTGCCTTGGATGCGCCCTCGCATTTAGTATGCGTATCTGGATTAGAAAGCCTTTAGTATTCCCTAGGAGTCTATGGAGTCCCTCCCTCTCAGGTACCCACCAGGAGGAGCAGTGCTAGACATTTTATGGGATGCTCTGTCGCCTCCCCGGCTCTGGTCCTTCAGGCCTAGCCTACAGAGTCATACCCAGCCATGTCCCTAGTCCCAAACACTACCAAAGCCAGGAATTCCAGGTTCTAGGTCTTCAGACCACACAGGTCCTGTATCTCCAATTCTTCACTGCAGGCCTGGATCCCATGTTTGGCAGCTGCTGGGGTGTGATGGTCATGGGACCAGTCTGGGAGTGGCTAGGAGTAGGTGGGCAGGGGGCATGGTTCTCTCTCAGGAGTTAGCAGAAAGATTCTCGAAGTTAGTGGAGCAGCCTCTTACCTGTCTGTCAGGGAAGTCTGGAATTCTATCACCAGACTTCCAGCGTGTGGCAGGGACAGAGCTGAAGTCGGCCTGTGTAGCTAGGAGCCTTAACCTTAAAGGAGAGGGAAACAGAAACCACTGGAGTGACAAGGGCCAGTGACGACTGAGAACCAGGAGGCTCAAGGCCAGAGCCTTGTCCTGTCTGTCTCCTGATCCCACTTTACCTTGACTGTCCTGTGTCCTGACCTCCCTAACATCCTGCCCATTTCCAGAAGAAGCTGTGTTTCTCCCTAAACAAACATCATCTGCAGGCTTTCTCTTGACCACCTCTTAACTAGCAAGGTTCCCCCTCTCAACTTCTCAGGGTCCCAAATCCCAGACTGTGACTGGTTTGAATCAGACAAGGGTAGTGGTTGCTGCAGGAATAGCCTGCAATGTCTCTGGGCCCTAAAGATGGCCCCTAGCTACCGGGTCCAGGCAGTCTCTGGGGCACCTTCCCGTGTGCTTCTTAGGCATCCCGATCTGATAAGCCATGAAAAGTGGCCATTCAGCTGTGCTGGGCACCTGTCTCACTGAGTGACAGCAACAGGAGCAGCAGTCTGGCACCTGGAAGGAGAAGGTCCACAGGGAGAGAGTGCTCAGAGCTCATAGACCCTCGCCTGTGACTTCCATGCTCCAGCCTTCAGGCCCCGGACATGCCTTTCTCTCTTGCACCTCAAGAATACAGTAGTACCACTGTATTCTCTTGCTCAGGCTGCAGCCTGCTAAGCCACGGTGTAGAATGTATCCCCCACTCTTGTGGAGGACTTGAGAACACAGAGCTGAAGGAAGAACACCCTGGCGTCCCTCTTCAGGCTGTGAAATGCTTGGTGCAGTAGAGTTGTGGAAGAGACCGTGAGAATACAAGTCAGGAGAGCCCTGAGGGCAGGTACTCCCATAAGTACAGGCACGATACAGAAGAACCTCTATCCGTCCACGTTGCCTCCCTGAGGTGCCTTTGGGGGCCCATCTGCTCTATTTTCAAGATGCCTCCACACTGCTTCTTGGCAACAAGCATGTAGCTCAGCCAATTAGAGTGACCTTCGAGAGGGAACAGGTGGGTTGCTGGGAAACAGGCCCTGCTAAGCAAGTGTGGCAATTAATATCACCAGACTCCCAGCGTGCACTTCACAACTTTCCCCACGCCACACTTCTCCACAGTCATCTAGACCTAGGACAAGGGGAGGCTGAATGCAGGCCTGTTGCAGCTGTCACGCTGACCCCATCCCTAACCAGTAGTTTCCGATGAGCCCGGAGTGTATGTGACACGGGCTCTCACGGTGGAAGGCAGGTGCTGGAAGTTGTGCAGTCTGTGCAGCTGGGCCAGCGAGAACAGGACAGGACACAGGTTAAGCTATGCGGAGGTCCTATGGTCTGCCCTCAGGAGCCCAGGAGACTGATGGCAGGGAGTGGCAGGAAGCCACTCGCAACAAGGAGAGATCCCTTCGCCCCAGTCCGGGGCCACCCACCCTTTAGAGTCTCTTGAAGTAGCATGGATTCCATGGAGCTCCCTTGTTGAGGAGACAACTCCACTTTGACCCATGTGCCTTTTCTTCACCAAGGCTGCGAAAAGTCCCGGAGTCTAAACAACATAGCAGGAGCGGCTGGAACCAGTCTGGGGCTGTCTCCACTGGCATCGCGGTACAGCTCGCCCTATCCTCCGAGAAAGCTCCTGCTCTCGCACCCCTTCCACCCTCTCACCAGCCCCCCACCTGGTCACTCAGGTCCTTAGCTATACCATGGCCTTCCTCAGCTCTGACACTGGGACACATATCCAAGCAGGCATGTTTACATGCCACCCCAACCCTTTTATCCCTCCTGAGGTCTGAGAAAACAGCAGAAGGGAACTTCAGTCAGGATGGAGAATTCGAGTCCCTGAGCCTGCCCTACATGGCACCTGGCTCCCCCAAACGGTCAGCCATGGAACCTGAATGCAAGGGGGAGATACTGCCAGCTTCTCCCTGAACCATAGGTGCTGGCACACTCAGGGCCCATGTCTCTGGGTTTTGCCTTCAGCTCAGGATCCTTGTAGGCCAGGGTGTGCGTGGTACACAGAGTGTCTGGAACGGCTTAATCTTGCCTGCAAGTCAAACCTACATTGAGATTTTAACCACAGAAATTTAATTTGCATTCCTTATGGCCTTTAACCAGTAACCAGCTTGTCTGTCTGTCTGTCTATCCACCCCACACCAAGATCAGCAGGTAACAAGGCTGTCTCATGGGGCTTCTCTGCTGGTGAAAAGGACATTTGGCTCCTTGGACCAGCAGCACCTGTCGACAGAGCTGCCCTGGGAGTGGGACCCGGTGTTTCCATCTGGGCCTTGGGGCACAGATGGGAGTTCCTAGAACCCAAGCCCCAGGCTTGGTGCAAACCCTGGTGTGGCAGGGTGTGTAAGTGCAGGGAGGCCCTCCTCCCCGAAGCCCGTGCCCAGATTCAGCGGGTGACACCCAGCATCCCATCTGTGCCCTGCGCTGCAGCATCTCCACACTGCTTCCTCTGCTTCAGCGACAGTTTGCTCCCTCTCTCCCGCTCCCTCCGATTCCCAGCCCTGCCTCTGAGTCACCTGCCACTCCCACCCAGCCTCTGCTCTGTATTCCTGCCAGAACCGGAGACTCATCTAATTTCTATAATTAAGTGTATTCATTTACCTAACGAGCCCGGGAGCACAACAGGTTTGTGAGTCATTGGGTGAGCAGGGGTACACCTTGCACAGAGACAGCTGAGGGGAAGTGAGGAGACAGGAGCTCCTACCCACACCTGCCACCGGGCCCCTCCTGCTCCCAATAAGCCCCTCCCTCAGCCCAGGGCTAAAGGACAAAAGCCTCTACCAAGCCTCCCTGCTTCACCTGATGGGAATTGACCTGACAGCAGAGCCACGTGCCTGGCTATCTTAGAGTCCGATTATGCAACTTTGAAAAGGGCGTGGCTAAGGAAGGTCCATATCTGCTCCCTACAGGGCAATAAAGAGACCTGGTGAGACAACTTTAGGGACCTGGCAGGAAACTGGAAAACCAGGGGGCGGTCAACACAGAAGGTGGCCCAGGCATAAATGTAAATCGTTTCCCGAGGTTGGAGCTTTGCAAAGCCTGTGACAGGCACTATCGCGTGAGCAAGCACTGGCCGAAAGAACTTCGGAAGTTCTGCTAGATCAGGCCCTGGCACACTCGGTTCAGCTGTGCTCTACAGGGTCTGCAGCCACTGGCTCTCAGAAGGGGGTGTTTTCTGAGAGGTAAGATGAGGAGATACTGGGAGCAGGCTGAGTCTGAATCGAGCCTCCTTGTGGTAGATTGGGCCCCACCCAGCGGGGCTCCTGGTACCAGGAGACTGTGGTCTGACAGGATGAGCCAGGTGTCCAGTTTAGCATGGGTACCACAGCTATTTTCTCTGGCTTGCCGTTCTGGTTTGGGGAACCGAGGCAGCTATTTCTGTGGCAACCCTCAAGCTGTGCGGAACCCAGGTTTCCACGGCACCCACCGCCTCCTCTCTTCTTTCCTCCTACAAGGATGGGCATGCTTACAGCACCCCTGTAGGGGGCACAGATGTCCCTGGGAGACACAGTGCATCTGCCAGGTTGAAGCCCCTAGCATTTGGTTGGAGAGATGGGCTCCTATACCCACCCCTAATCTCCTGGCTCCAAAGGGAAGAGGCAGGGCCCAGCTGGTGGAAGAACTAGGTGAGTTATCTGTCCTCAGCTACCTCTTAGGACTTTTGTGTTTGCCCAGGGTTCCAGGAAAGAAAAAAAATCTATTATGGCAGTTGCCTATACAAGCCTCAGATCCATCCAGGTGTTGAATGTCCTTCACAAGGAGAAAGGTTTGTCTCACTTAGATAAACCCCAGAAGGCCATGTTGAACCAAAAGCGTGCATTAGCTTGTCTTTGCATTGGACTTGGAATTGGACCTGTTGCTTTTGCTTTTAGAACATGACCCTGTAGCTGGGGTCTGGGGCCCTGCTTAAAGAACAAGCAGGCAGCCTAGGAGCAAACTCAGAGCCTTACCTTTCAGACTGTGCCAGACAGAGCTGGTTGGGGCCACAGTCTTATGGAGATGGTAACGGGTCATGCTGAGATGATAATATATATATATATTATATATATATTATATATACTATATACATACATATACAAATATATGTATATATATATTAAAAAGCCTTTAACATGTCAGGGAATATATAAAGTAAAAAGCCTTTAACATGTCAGGGAATATATAAAGTAAAAAGCCTTCAACATGTCAGGGAATATATAAAGTAAAAAGCCTTCAACATGTCAGGGAACCCTAGTGTAGAAGCGGTGAGGCTTGGATGCCAAATGACAAACTAAATAGCTGTACTAATCAGCCTTGGGGCTGAAACTTCACCACACTGTTAGCTCGGCCTCTCTAGCTGTCTGGCCAGTACTGCTGCTGGGAGATAGGGAAGAAGACCCAAGCCTCAGATATCTGAAGCTGATGCCATGTGCCAGCCTGCTCTCCCGAGGCAATGTGCCCTCCATACCCACGCCCCAGGACTCTTCCTATCACTTTGAGGTCCAGGGGCTTGGTGTGATGTGTCTTCCCACTCTAGAGCCATTTTCACTGGCTCCTTGGGACAGTGGGGTTGTCCATGGTGGTGAGGGCAGATGGGGCTATTTGGGGGAGAGCACAAAGAGAGCAGAGGACAGTTGGAGTGAGGGGCCGTGAGCCATAGTCTACAGCAGGGATTTTCACCCCTGCCTCCCTGCTGGGCTCTATGGAGTCTGGTATGGTTCCTCTCCCTGCCGCAGTAGAACTCCGAAGACCTGAAAGGCTAGTAGTTCTTGCCAATGGCTACCTGAGTTTCAGCGTCCCCTGAGTCTCCTCGGCCTGGAGGTGGGTTGGCAGAGGAGAGATGAAGGTTTCACCCCACTTGCTGTACCACCCTGGTTCTTCCTTGCCTCTTAGCCCTGGGTCCCCTATGCCTTCCAGCTCTGCTATTGGCTGTTCCTTAGCCCACAGCCGGTGGGTCAGCGGCTGGCTGGCTTCCTTCTAACATCTCACTCTTTGTTTCTCCCTTTCTTTTGCTGAACTCTTGACCCCCCCCCCCCGCCCCCAGAAGGCAATGTTGAACCGAAAGCGTGCGTCCCAGTGTCTCACACCTGTGCTCTTTAAACACAGAGACCTGCCAAGACGCCCTCTCGTCCAACTATGCCCACGCTGAAGTCCTCACCCTCTCTTAAGGCGGCACCAACGTGAAAAAGACAGGCAGACAGACAGGAAGCCAGAGGCTTAGGGAAACTCTGGAACCCAGGCACGAATCTTTTGCTGGGAAAAAGACTCAGATATCCTTGTTTGCAGAGAACTGGTGGAAAAACCTCCCATGCGACTCTCGGGCCCCAGAGCCATCTGGGTCTGATGCTCTGTTCTACTGTACATTGAAGAGACATATATGCACATATAGTATCTATATTCATACGTACTATATACTCTTGTGTGTAGTGCACGTGCTACTGGTGGTCTGTCTTCGTTGTTAGGCTATGTCTCCCAAGTTTTCTTCCCACCCTGTGTCCCCTCCCCTCTTCCTTCATGGATTGTTCCTTCTGACCATGTTGTATGGAATGTCCCAGGGAAAGTAGCGGGCCTGGCACCTGCCCCTCCAGCTGGGTGGTCCCAGGCTGCTCTCACTTGGGGGTGTTTCCCCTGCCAGCAGGTGGCCTGTTGTAGTCTGCGAAGGCAAGATTGCCCTCCAGGGTCACTGCTTCACTAGCCCAACCCCACCCCAGATTGGGGTTCTACCTCCCACCACCCCACACTGGGGGCACTTCCAGGGGCTCTTCTGTAGCCTCTGTAGCTCCTTCCAGCACCCCCTTCTGTGCCCTTGACAGAGGGGAGTTTTATTTCTTTTGTGTGAGTCTCCTTTGTCCATTTGTTTTCAAAGATGCTGCTGGGCAGATGGAAGGGGATCTGTTTGCCCATCTGGCTCAGGGGTCTGAGAAGGGGACACCTTGGGCGAGAGGAGACCAGTCGCAATACTGTACTTCCTGGCCGGCGGCCAGAGGATGCGTGCAATAGCAGAGGCCAGGTGACCCCTTCAGCCTTGGCCTCTGCCCCTCCCTCGGCCCTTCCTGCCCACCCTTGGTATCAGTCAGTCCTTTTCTAAAGCTGTTCCCTCGTGTGTGTCTGAGGCACGCCTAGGCCGGGCCCCTTGTGCCCTGTCTGCATGCCCTCAACTGTCATGCTGTGCTCGAGCTCCAATAAAGACATCCAAGTGTCCTGCTGCTCCTCTGTGAGCATCTGCCTCGCCTCTCTTTTCTGGCTGTGGGTCTGTGGTGGGGGGAGGCCTCCCTGAGTTCCAAACAACCTCCCGTCTGCCTCTAAGGATTGCACGCACCCACCAGGGATCCTCCCTGTGACCCAGCTCCTGCATTTTACAGCTAGCAGGAAGTACTCAAAAGTGAGGCTGCTCAAGGCAGCCAAGGGCATAACACTGAACCCCTCACTCCTGGGCAGTGTCCTGATTCTGCTGCTGCCACCTGAGCGACCCCCCTCCCCCCCCCCCCACACACACCCAATAGCATGGAATAAGTCTTCTGTGTGTAGGGAAGTTTACTGTATGCCTGCTTGTTCGTACAGGGACTTCCCTGCGAGTGCATCAGTTTTAAGTGGGCCAAGGCTCTGGGGAGGCCAGCCATTGCAAGGACTGCATGAGGGCTGAAGTACCAAAGCCAACACTGGACTGGCGTGATACAACCAAGGGGCCCTTGGGGATGGAGAATGGTCAGACCTGGAGTACATGGTCTAGGGAAGTGGCAAGTTCTTGAACACTGGTGACCCTCACTATTCTTTTCACCCCCGCGTAGGGGCATACATGAGGCTGGCTTTATGGATACGCAGCCCTGCCGTCACCCAGAAGGGATCCCCATACTGTCATCACTGATCCTCAGAAAGACCTGTGGTTTCGTTTGTCCTGGGCTCTACAGCCAGGTCCGGGTGCATGTTCTCATCTCCCTACTCCCCACTGTCTCAATAAACCTCCATAGGTGCCTCCATTTAGTCTTGATCTTCCCCTTATTAGCTGGGACTCTTGGGGGTAACTCCTCAGCTCTGTTTTCATGCCTGTAAAATAATGGTGCTTATTCCAAAGACAGCTTAACAGCCTGGCCCAAGGTCAGGTGTCTGCACAGAGCATACTGGAGACAGGAGATCGCCCATAAATTCTAGCTCCCCCCTCACCCTTGCCTTCAGTTCAGGCTTTTTTTCTGCAGATTTTCTTCATGTCCAAACACACTCAGAAAAGACAAGAGCACACCAGGAGCTGTCTAGGGCAATACAGAATGGCAGGGTGAAGACCGCAGGGCCCTGGGGAAGGAAGAAACAAGGGGAAGCCTATTCCTGAAGTGGCATGGAAAACCAGCCACGAGCCTGGGCCAACAGTAGAGGCAGGGTGGTGGCAGGCGGCCAGTTGTCAATTAAAGATGAAATCTCTCCTCCAACTGGAGGGCAGATAGGGCTGTGCTCTCCCCCCAAGAGAAAGCCATTTGCAGCCAGGCTGCTCGGAGAAGCTTGGCCAGGCGATAATGGGATGGGATGTACTGCTGACTCCCTAATGACATTACACATCAGGGCCCACATCCAGAATGGCTGTTTTTTACTTTAGCTGGGTTTTTTTTTTTATTTTGTTTTTTTAAACATGAATCCATATTTATGGGCTAAGAACCTAGCAAACAGCACATGAGTATTGGATGCCAGGAGCATCCCAAGGGGACCTACGGGGATGTGACTGGGATACGCAGTGACACCTTCAAAACTCTGGAATGGGCAGATGCAGAGTGACCCACGTGTCCCCGAAGCTGCACCATGAAGGGAGACACACGGTAGGCTTCTGCTCTCCCTGGGGCCCACACTGAGTCCTAACTTAGGGGTTGCCTTAGAGAACAGAATCACTGTGCCGGGGTGGGCTTTTAGAGTCAGAGGGACTCGGATGTGAATCTCAGATCTGTGACTTCTTAGTCCCGCGTTGCCTAGGTTGCCCGAACCTCCATTCCTCATTGTCATAACCGTCATAGCAGTAGGTATGCTGAGCTGTAGGAGAATGATGCTAGGTGGTGCCAGGAAGTTTTCTGCACAGATAACCACCGCTCACTGAGCTGGCAGAATTGTTCAGTGGGTAGAGACCCTTGTTGCCGGGCCTGACAGCCCTGAGTTCGATCCCTAGGACTCTCATGGTGGAGGGACAGAACTGATTTTTGCGAGTCATCCTTGGACCTCCACATGCACACAAATAAATAAATTGCTAAAAATCATTGCATTTAAACAAATATAGATGGGGGGGGGGGTTCCTGTGGCGCAACCTTCAGCCAACAGCAGCAGTTTGGTTTGATGCCTTCCCATTTCAAAAGAAGTGCCATGGATTAGCCTCCTTTTCTTTTGACAAAGGAGACAAGGGACTGATTAAACAGCATGCGTGTGTTTTTCCTGAGACACTCGTGTTATGCGCATGGAAATGCATTCTGAGGTTGATGTGATGCTTTGCTCCACAGAGAAGAAAATGCAGCACCGCATAGAAGGTCATTTCTCCAGAATTACAGCCCAGTAAGAGCCACCAAAACTGACACCGAGGCCCAACAGAATGACTCTACTGTCCCAGTGCCTGGGGAAGGCTTGGGAGGAAAAACCCCTGGTGTGGAACTTAGAATGTTTTTCATTTCCTTAATCTCAATTGATGCCTTTAGCAAAAGTATTGGTTCCCTCTTAGAAGATAAGAAAACTAGGGCTTATGAAAGTGGGTTTAATTCACTCTCATGTCTGTGTAAACACACACACACACACACACACACACACACACCCTGGGGAAGAAGGGACATCTTGACTTCATTAATTAATGACCAGGTGGCAACACCTAGCTCAGGGAGTGACAAGTCCCTTCCCAGTGACACACAGAAGGGAAGCCTGGGTGGGACTGGCCTGAAAACCAGGGGACAGGAGGAGCAGCTCGTCCTGGAGAAGATCTGGTGGAAAACCAGCTCCTGGGTTCGGGTATTTGGCGAACACTGCAGTAGGGGTACCAGTTATTGGTAGAGATGTTAAGGAGGTCAAATGAAAAGAGCTATTTTGGGGTTGGGGTGCTGGCTTAGTCAATAAAGTACTTGCTTTTCAAGCAGGAGGACTTGCATTTGATCCCCAGAATCTACATCTTTAAAAAGCTGAACATGGCGGCATGTGTTTGGAATTCTGACACTGGGAGGCAGGACAGGCAGATCACTGGCTGGCTAGGCTAGTCCACTTATCAAGTCCCAGGCCAGCAAGAGATCCTGTCTGAAAAACAAAGGTGCATGGCTCGTGCGGATCGACACCCGAGGTACACACACACACACACACACACACACACACACACACACACACACCTTATTTTTGTTTCCTTCACAGACTTAGTAGGAAATGTTAGAAACTCTTCCACACCGACTCAGCAGAGAAGGCTGGATCTCCTTCCCTGCACTTCACTGTGCCCCAAAGGTGGCACTGTGAACACCTGGTCAAAGTCTTCCAGGCCTTCCGGAATCAAGCTTCCTAACAAAACAACTAAGAAACGGTTAGGAACAGACTCCCCTATAGGCTGAGGGGAACTCCATTCCTAGAAGTATGAGGGAACCCCAGGAGCCAAGTGCTGGCTGTGGGAAGAATTTCTGCATGGTGTGCAAGGTGGTCAGACCTCTGACTGGAAGGCTGACTCAGCCGGGGCAGGCCGAGAACTTGGAGATTCAGGGAAGACTCAGATGAACTCCTTTCCTGATGGGACTTTCCCAGATTCCCTGCCCCGACAGAGAACATCTGAGACATTACTAGACAGCAATGACTCAGTAGACATGGACTTGGGTTGCCATGTGACCCACCACCAGCCCCCAGGGATCCCTGTGGCATTGTCACCGTGAGCATCTGTGTTTAGCTCAGGGCTCCCAGTCCTTTGTGCATGACAGCGCTCACATCCTAGTTGGCCCGTGAGCTAGCCCAGTCCCTGAGGACTGCAGTCATCACACTCAGGCCCAAACAACATGCATTGCTCCTGAGGACTGTCTCAAGAACTCGAGACCTGGCTGTCTCTTAAGTACCCCAGTTTTACCTTCTGCCAGGTATCTGCTTGCCTTTCCAGGGACTCCTGGGAGGGGCGTGGTTAAAGTATGTACTAGGGTCATTGTGACTAGATTACTGGAAATGCAGAGTCTTGGTCTTGGTTGAATTTGGGTCCCTGCTACCTAATGCAACAGTTCCTGGTTGTTGGGAGGGCCCCCTTTCTCTTCCATACTGTCTCCTAGGTGACCTTACCCGCTCCCATGCTTTAAGCATTTATAGATGCTGATAGCGTCCCTATTTCTAGCCCCATTTCAGAAATCCCCACTCACATCCGTTCAGTCAGTCATTCTGCAAGCACACAGTGGAGCTCCTTCATCTCATGCTGCTCTCAACAGTGCCTGTGTGGCCCTGGTGCAGCGTCTTTCCTGATGCTCCACAGGCCTCCGATTTCCTCCTCTGCCTTCCTTCCCTCTGTCCACACAGGCTACAGCTGACCGGAAGCCGGGTGGAAGAGCGCAGCCATAATCTCACCTTCTCACTCCAGTATTACTTCACTCCCTGTTTTCAAACACAAGATTATTGAATGCTGTGCTATGTCCTGGGGAAAGAGCAGTAAATAGGACCCCTGCCCACAAGCTTGGAGCTTGTGTGCTAAATGGGGAAACAGGCCAGGCATGCTACTTTTCTGCCTTGGAAATGTATTTCAGATAGTCTCATCCTGCTCCCTTCCCAGATTGTCTGTTCTGTCTGAGGTCCCCAGCCTGGGCCTTTTGCAGGAGGCGCCTCCCAGGCCTCCCTGTGACCCTCAGCTCTTCCCTCATCATCTCCTGTCTTGCCCAGCAACCAGAGAGCAGCTTAAAGTGGAATCAAGATCCTGTTACCCTTAAAACCCTTGGTGGCTTCCTTCCCTCTGCATTTCAATACAATTCAAAGCCTTCAACGGAGGCTTGGGGCATGGTTGTTTCTCAGCCCCTGTCCCTATCCTCCCAGCCCACCTCCACTTTCTCTCTCTGTCTCCCTCCCTCCCTCCTTCCCTCTCTCTCTCTCTCTCTCTCTCTCTCTCTCTCTCTCTCTCTCTCCAGTCACGCATGCTGGTCCCCTCACAGGACCCATTTCCCTTCCCCACCCACTCCAGCCCTTCCCTTGACGGACTGCATCTTACCCTTTGCATCTGGCGAAACAACCCACACTCCCAACTTGAGTGTGACCTCCTCACCTGGCC